ATGAGTCAGAACTCCCACACTAATGACTGAAACGAGCCCCGCGGGTTTCAACCGCAGTTCATCGTGTTAATGTGCGTTCTCCAGCGAAACGCCGCAACCGCACGTATGGACGGTTAGAATCAGGTTCCACACCTCGTGGTTTAAGCTTGAATCAGGATTTAATCAATAGCACGCAGGGTCGGTGGCGGATTCGATCAGAGAAAGTTACACTTACTCGCCGACTGCTAATCAGCCTTCATTTACACATATTTCTTTATGATCGGCGAGACCTCTGATTACACCACGTGTATCTCACTTGAATGAATGTTTTGAGTAGCGATCCGAAGCCGCGCTGCCGGCTGCCCCCCCCGCGTTCAGACGGAGGTTAATGGTGCAGAACGTTCACCATTCACATTCCGCTCTGCGCTGTTAATGCGACGCGCCTCAGCCGCTGCTTTCTTTAGTTCAAAGTGTGAGAAGGGGAGGTTTTAGGGCGGGTGGTGATGTTTACCGCGTTTTCATTTACATCCGCCTGCTGTAGTGATCACAGAGTGGCGACGCCGGGATTAAAGCAATAAAGCTGACATTCGATTTGAGGGTTATTCATGAATTCTGCAGCTCAACCTTGGATGCGTGAGGAGAAGACAGATTTAGCAATGAGTACTTTTTGACGTAATCTTAAGACGCGTAACTATTTAGCATCTCCACAGCCTTGCTGTAGGGCTTGTGTGGGATTCCTGAAGACCACTAGGAGGTTCTCCCACCGAAGAGACAGATTATTTACTCTGACTTAAGGATAAAAGAAGATAACACCCTGAATTAGCACGCTGTTCCACATCTAATGGAGTTGTAATACACCATCCCCATAAAGCTGTTAATCACTTTTTAATCAACTCTGCAGTCACTCGTGAGGCCGCAGCGTTATGAGCGATTGTATTTCATTAAAATGTGTTGCTATTTCTTTCGTCGACCCCACGAGAGGTTCCAAAGTGTTATAAGCGTCGCCCGAGAAACGGCGCACGTCTTGGGAGTCTGATGAGGGAACTTGTCTTGAAGGCGTTTGACCGTGCGTGCGCTCATATGACTCCTGTGGAGCCCTCGTGCTTCCTCTCAGGTGAACCCTGTGATCTCCGTCAGCGCGTTAGCATCGTTTTCACCGTTAGCCGCGTGCCACCGTCGCTAAGAGCTTACAGATCTGCCCAATTTTTAGTTTTGTTTGGTGCTTTTGAGATGTTTTTTTATATTGTAATTTCTTTTACAGTTAGATTTCTCATTGTGTCCTTTTCCTCCTGGTTGGGTGAAATATGGACACTGTGTCAGATATATATATATATATATATATATATATATATATATATATATATATATATATATATATATATATATATATATATATAAGATGTATGTATTGTCATGGTGGTGCTGATTTATTTGTTCTGACAGTGAAGTTTGGGTATTAAAACCCAAACTGCAGGAATGGCCGATGCATCTTGTGCATACGAACGTGAACTTGATATTTTTAAAGATTTGTCGTTCCTGGTAGTTGATAATAGATTATTTAATTAAGTGTCCGACAGCGTCGGCCTGCAGTGCATGAACCAGCAACCTAAAGCGTTTGTCCTGTGACAACATTCAGAAATAACAAAACGTATTCCAGGTATTTTGTTTCCGGGAGGTTCTTAATGAAGCCATTAAATCAAGGAACCCACTTTCTCAACCTGAAACTTGCGTGAGCCTTCGTTAATGGTTTACAACTGCCAATCAGTGCCGCGGCGTATTCCACCACCGGCCAGCAAATGAATTCAAATCCCCCCTCCTCATGCGCTTCGCCGCGACACGCCGCCTGCCTGGAAATGGACGTCCTCCGGAGAGGCGCTGAAGTGATTCCTGCAGGTTATTTAAAAGGAGAAGTGCCAGGGGACTGTCAGATTACGGCCATAAAGAGGGTTTTAAAGGGTTTTTCCCACCAGGGCTTCTGAATTACATGGTACTCTTATCACATTCAGCATAGAGAGGCTGAGTATAAAACAAGACACTTTGGAAGCAAAAACACGGCCGAAAGACCACGAATTGACATTTCAAGACAATTACGCCATAATTGATGAGCTGCGGTACATGAAAGAACGACGTGACGTTGGAAATTGTTCCATAAAATGTTGCAGCAGGAGATGAGGGCTCCATCTTAACGCAGAAGTCCGATGTCTAGTTAAGTTCAGCCACCTTGATTGATTTTTTCCGCCCAGATTCACAGATTGACCTCAGACGGTTTTACAGAGTGAACATTAGGAGCCATCGACCCTACGGTTTAATAAGGACGAAATTCCACAGAAAAAAAAGGTTCTCTCAGCCTTTTAACAGCCATATAAAGAGAGTAGACAAGAGTTCTGCCGGATTGACACGGCAAAGGTAAGACAGGAGACTCTGCAGTTCTCCCTGATGACTGACAGGCTTCCCCGGGAAGGTGTTGCGTGACTGACTTTTTGGTTAACAAAAATAACTTTTGCAGGTACAGTGGGTACAGTTTTTTTCTTTTTGAGCCTGAAGCTAAACAGTGCAAGTTTAACCAAAACCAAACGCCTCCTCAAGGACAAAGTGTTGCCTTGACTCTGCAGACGTGCAAATGAAACTATAGCGATGGTTGAATTCAAGTGAATTACTTACAGTTTCAGGGACCTTTGACTTAAGGAAGCACCATTGTCTCATGTGGTCCATCATTAACACCAGAATATTGATATTCTTTCGCTCTTAATCACCAAACATTATTAACACAATTACTCGGTTAAGTAAATAGTTGCACGGTGAACATGGAGCCTTTGGGACAAACGAGTTTATGTGGACAATAATTAGTCACTCAGAGGACTACAAAACCTATTCTTTATTTGGTTTATAACTGCCGCGCTGCTGCTCGGTTTCAGCTTGTTAACAACACTGCCAAGTCCGTCCTTGTTGCTTTTGCTAAATTTGGTGCGAGACGTAACAAGAGAAAAATGCATCCGTCGACCCCGGTGCAGACAGAGAAGTGTTTGAAGTGGTGGTGGTGGTGGTGGTGGGGGGGGGGTGCAGAGTAACAAACCAGTGCGAGCTCTGCCTAAAACCACTTCCTGAGTGAGATGATGGGAGAACTGATGTGAGCCGGACTCTCCGGGGACGTCGTTTGTAATAAAAAGCGTCCGTCCTTCGTAGCCCAAAGGCTGGGAGCACCTGGTCGGGGTGCTCGGAGCGTTCTAGTGTGAAACCCTCCTGTTGCCTGCATCAGATAAAGTCTGCCAGCGGAGGCTTAAGTGTGTCAATGATCGAGGCAGGCGGGGGGGGGGCAATGATAAGTGCAGCTTACATCCTCAACTGCTTGCCGCCAACCAAATAAGCAATTAAACCATTTCGACCTAATAGCACATGTCAGTCAAAAGTCCCCCACTTTGCCACTTCCTATTGTCCAATCACGCCAGCCATTAAAATATTCTACTATTTGCAAAGAAATGCAGAACTAACCGAAAAATTCTTCACCCCCAAATCCCCTTTGTAGCCCATCTGACCCCCCCAAGCGAGATCCATAATTGTGTCGGCCATTTCTCCCAAATGCTTGACTACGACTTACTTTGAAACCCCCCCCCCCCAACACAAACACGAGTGCACACACACTCAGATCAAAAGGCTCAGGGTCTATTATTGTGTAAAACGTGGGTCTCCTTCTAAACAAGCGCGGGCTTTTGTACCCGGTACTCGTTCCTCGCTCTAATCACTGTTGTGGATATTGCTAAATTGCCAACTGTTCCAGGGAATTACTGGACCGAACCTCACAACGGTGACTTTGATTTGTTGTGCCGCCGTCTCTGATGTGAATGCACCCTGTGGTCTGTAAATGAGAGTGTCTGTTGTACCGCCGGCGTCCCTTATTTAGACATCACAGCACTCATTAGGTGGATCAGGCTCATATCAAAGTCAGAACGCAGATGTCGATGTTTTCGGAGAGCGCCGGGCTCGTGGCGGTGTCTTTTTAATGGTACGTCTGGCTTCCACTCGTCTCGATTGTTATCTCGCCGCCGGCGATGCGTCGGTTGACCTCTGACATGTGATCGCTTCGGCTTTAACGCTTTCTTCTCCGTCCTTTTTGGTTCCGCGTCCAATCAAAACAAATCCAATAGGTGACCTACTGAAAAGACGTGAGAGGAGAAAGACGTTCCCCACGATGCCAGTGGGCTTGTGAGGCATTTTTAAAAGCAAACTCTCCCTAAAGAGAGACATTTTTCTTAAAATCTGTCTCCAAAGTTTTAGCAGCTTCACAGAACACCAGAATATAATTATTGATGATAATGTTAAGCTGCCGAATATTGTCACTGACCATTTGCCAAGCTTAAGAAATACAAGACCCCCTACACTGAATGATTAGAAATAAGCATTTACATATTCGTATTTACTCATTAAATCTTAATCAAGATTTTCTTTTTCTAGTTTTAATCTATTTAAAAGGTTTTTTTTTTAATTATTATTTTTTATATTTGTAGTGGATTCACGGCCCATTTAGATTGCGTATTGTGCCTCTAAAACTAGCGGGAGACACCAGATAAATCATCTATAAAACAAACATTTTCTGCAGCGCAGCGGTTTAGAATGAGACGGCTAAACAAAGAGAAGACAAGTCCCCACGGGGACGCCTCCTCTGATAGACAGCGACATCATGTCTCTCTTATTGTTTTTAGTTTTCTCTTGAAGGAAGATTAAATAAACTATTATGCCATTTGATATTCCAGTGCAATGGTAGCACTGTTGCATTATTATGCTGGGTGTTGGGAGTTAATTCAAATGCAGCTTAGGAGGGACGGAGCCAGCCAGCGGACTGCATCCAAAGTATTATTAGTAGTATTCAGTAACTCGCCAAAGTGGACTCGGCTGGTTTATCCATATTTCTTTCCTCCGTATCTCTGCCTTCAGTGCAAAGCCCCACAAGCATGATTGTCACAGGCGGCGTGTGGACGTCGTCGTGTCCATGGTGGTGATCGTGATGGGAATCTATTCTCTTCCAGGTTTATACCAGATACGGGAAATGCTACACCTTTAATGGTAACAAGACAACATCCAGGAAAAGCAAGCAGGGTGGAATGGGAAACGGGCTGGAGATCATGTTGGATATCCAGCAAGATGAGTATCTGCCCATCTGGAGAGAGACAAGTAAGCCTCAAAAACTATTTGTCCAATGTAATCCAATCATATGCTACAGCACGCGATAACTCTGCTGGGGCTTTAAAATAACTTGCATCTATTTCTCCGGCTCACAAACTGTAAATAATGCATTTTTTGATTGCATCCCTGCAACCTGGAAAAATGTGATTTGTAACAGGAGATATCTGAACACAATACCTCAGATTTGTGTTTGCATTGTAGCTGTCACACAATATTAATCCCCACTGCTGTCTTTTTTTTTTCTAAACGTGACTGAAATATGGTTCGCAGTTAGCTGTCGCGCGAGGCAGCCGCCTGTAATTCCGCTGTCCTCTCCCCTTTGCAATGCTCCGCGCTTCTGCTCCGTCTCATCCGGAAGACGAGACGTCCCTGGAGGCCGGCATCCGAGTTCAGATCCACAGTCAGGACGAGCCTCCCTACATCCACCAGCTGGGCTTCGGCGTCTCCCCGGGATTCCAGACCTTTGTTTCGTGCCAGGAACAGAGGGTAGGTCTTCTTCATCACAGCCAAACGGACTGGTTTCGGACCGAGGTCTAACAAATCTCTCTGTGTACTCAGCTGACCTACCTGCCCCAGCCCTGGGGGAACTGCCGCTCCACCAGCAAAGAGAAGTTCCCGGGATACGACACATACAGCATCAGCGCCTGCCGCTTGCTCTGCGAGACCAACGAGGTCCTGCGCGTGTGCAGCTGCAGGATGGTGCACATGCCCGGTAAGATGAAGCCCGCTCGCCCGCCCGCCCGACCTTCGCCCCCTCACACGGAGCCCAGCAGGTCGCACGCCGAGTCAAACGTAAAGACGGGATTAGCGGAATGAGTCGAGATCCAAACGGGACCTGGGGATGAATAATCTGATGTGTGGTTGTAGAAAAACACCACCAGCACAAATAAATCTGCACAAATTGCTACGCGGCAACTTCAAGGTCATGACATCGCGCGCACAATTAAGCTAACGCGACTCACGTGGGGAAAATCGAAAGTTAACAATGCTCTAAAAGGCTTTGCGTTTCCATCTGTTTTGAAGATGGTTTGGTGTAGCGCGATTGAAACACAGCAGCCATGCGGGTGTTTGGAGATGACACACTGTGCAAAACAAGTCATTATTTTGCTGCTCACTTGAGTAATTCCAGCAGAGACGTAATTTGGGCCGCCACATGCTCGACCTTGGTGCTCGATGTTTGGAGTGGAACGCCCTTCAGCAGTGCTGGTGGCTCTCCGGACAGGCGCCCTTCACACTGAAAGTCTCAATGAGCATTTGGGTCCATTTGTTTGTACATCTCAGCTTCTGTGGTGCACATTCAATATTTTGTCATTTATTAAAGCCGCTTCTGCTTTTAAAGGATTCATTAAATATTTGACTTCTAAAATGAGAGACTGCTTTGAATACACAATCAATTTCAAATGTCAACAGATTCCAAAGATGTAGCACGGAGAGCATTTCATTCCTACGGACAGTTTTCACTTTTAGGATGATTTGAGGATGAAGAAAAAAATTATCCTGTAAGCAATTATCATAGTTTGGTCTATAAAAACAAGAGAAAATAAAGTAAGGCTGTTACAATATCAGCTTTTCATCACGCTAATATCATGGAAAAAACTGTTTGTCATATCATTGAAATAATCAATGGAAAATGTTTAAAAACACAGGCTTCCACATTCACGCGGTGCAGCTGACATTTGCGGCCTCGTTTTGCACGACTGAAAACCGAGGGAGTCTATTGATTTTAAAAGAAACCACACAGTGTGAGAGATTCCGGGCAGAGACCCGTTTTAATGGCGAGTCAACCCTGAAACACTGCTGTAACTCAACTGTTCATCTCCGTGTAGTTTCCTCCAAAGGGAAGCTCGCCAGCCTGATCCGCGGGGGAGGAATCCCAGCTGACCATTTCATCTGGACGGGCTCCCGTCGCTGTCTTGCGATAAGCTGGCGAGCGCCAGGATTTGGGCAAAACGAGCCGGCTGTTGAGGGGAAACATCTCGCTGCTTTCACTCTACTCGTCCCTGTTTGTTTACTCTCACCCGCGCTGCGCGCCGCACCGCTTTTGCTTTGTGTTGTGACGATCTATCACATCCAGCATTGTATTTATTACATTAATTATCTCAGATGCAATAAAGGCGGGGGAGCTTTTGCAGGCCTCGTGCCCCGTGCAGATTTAGAGGAGAGCTTCCGTCGGATTACTCGGGAAGCTTGAGTTAGTTCCCTGCACTTATCAATAGTGAATCAGATTTACTGTTGCATATTAAGCTTGCTGAAACCCCTTCAAGAGGTTCTACGGAGTGATTGATTCAAAAGCTCGCCAGGGGAGTAAGAGACCAGCTTGTGAATTGAAAATCCTTTTATGGCCTCGGCGAGACAACACGGTCCTGTGTGTAATCCAGGAGCTCTGTGCTTTGCACACAATTTACAGTAGGATTATTTGTTCTCTAGCAAATGTTTGCATTCCTAATTTGATCTCCCACATCTGTTTGCAGTCTGTTGTGGCTACTGCTATTTTATTTGGGTTTCCTGTCCCCTTAAGACACTAAATCATTCGTTTTCATGTTGTGTAGAATACAGATACACACAATTTGGTCAAACAAGTGATTACTTTTTGAGATGTTTTTTTATAAAACATTTTATATTTGACTCAGGACCCCTGGACTGGGAGGTGTAGAAGCAAAACTGTGTTTTCCTAGGTTTTTTGTTTTAGGATTAATATTTCAGTATGTCGTCCTATTTCTATGTTTGGATGACCACTAAAAAAGGCTTTTACGTTTCTCTTTTGCTTGGTGTGTGGACAGCAGGGACACTGCCCCACTTTTGATTACACAAATCAATTCAAAACCCTAACCCAAAAAAGAATACTCAAAAAGATTAAAAGTACTGGGTTTAGTGGAATCACAAGTTGTTTCCACAACAGAACAAATCAGAGCAGCTGACGGTGTGTGTATTAAAAACACTGAACGAGACTCCCGCAAAACATTAACCTCATAAACATTTCACAGACAGACGAACACTGTAAGCGTTGCAAATGAATCGTGCTTTTAATGAATACCTGTCATCAACATACCGGGCAATACGTTCGTCTGCCAGGAAATGACTCATTGATTGCCTTTTTTTTTTTTTTTTTTTTTGCCCTCATTTCAGGATGACTGATAAGCACGTGGAGTGTTGTTTACAACCACGGCTCCCCGTGGCGGCGGACGCGGGTCACTGATCATTTGCTTTCAGATTGATCAGACTCATTTTGCTGTTCTCCCTCTGCAGGAACCGCGGCGATCTGCCCTCCCAGTAAAATCAACTGTGTTGACAGAGCACTCGGTAAGAAACAATCTCCCTTCATTTCTTTTCTCATTACAGTAGATTCCCCCCCAAGGGAAATGGAAACACACTCAGTAAACATGATGAGGATATTTTTCCCCGCTGTAACACGAATACCTGGAGGTGGACGTGGTGTTTTCAAAATACTTTTCCTCATTGTGATTTAGTCAGTCATCCCTTGTCGAGCTGCTGATATTAAACCGATCCCCGAGCCTCAGGTGTCACTCCGCCTCTCGGCCTGCGGGCACCTCGAAGGAACAAAAGCGCCCTGGTTTCAGAGGAGAAATATGTATTTCACGGTCACGGCAGACGTATAATTATCATTCCTCAGCCAAATAAGCCAGCACGTTTAATTATGTCTCATTGCTGTATTCACATTAATTTCAAATGTGGGCCATATTCCTGTATTGAAGAATACACTCGCCCCCCCCCCAGGAGATGTAGAATATCGTTTATTTATTTGTATTGTAAAGCTTTTTTTCGGTTGCCGTATCAGATGAAACGCTATGTGGCCCTGTGCTGCTGCACATAAGCTTATTGTTAGTTATAGAACACGTCATACATTTTTAATAACTGTTTTCAGAGCTCCTTCTTTCCTTTCATGTCCTGACTGAATGCATTTAGAATTTGAAAAGAGAGTAAGTGAAAAGCTATTTGCTCTCTTGTGTATAAAGCAATGTATCAGTTAGGGTCGAGAAATTGATTTGTTAACGTGTGAGCAATTCACGCCTACGAGTTAACTGGGTGTTACGTCCAGGCAAAGCCCTCAGACGCTTTTATTACACATTATTATTTATTCTTTGAACAACTGCAGTGGAAAAATTGCTGTAAACATTTTTTCCTTTGTTGTTTGTCAAATGAAACCCTTAAACAAACACAACATTGTGTTCATATATTGAGAACAATATTGTTTTTTTGATTGAAACCACTGCTGGAGAAGTCTTTAAAACCTGACTCGTCCTGACTTTGTCGCTGCACATTTTATCCGCTTAATTATTTTGCAAACTGTTAACTGTTCATTCAAAGGCTGCAATGAATTAGTTCACCCTCAGAATTACACACGCAAAGAAACACTAAGTAGTCGTGAAGTAAAATGACGAACGAAGCCTGGAGCTGAGTGCTCCTTCTCAATAAAAAGCCACACAGAGAAAAGACCTAATCATCCCAATCAGGTGGTAAAAACTTTTATTATGCCATCAGAACAAATACTATTTCCCTTAGCCACTTGCAGAAGGAAACATGTTCCATAAATCAAGTTGCCAAACCTATCTGATATACAATGTCATGCAATGCAGTTGTAAAGCTTTAACGCCTGTTTAACTGTCATTTATATGCTTATGGAATTAAGTAAATTAACATGCAACTTTGGAGCTGCACCAATTTTCCTTTTATTTCATTCTAACAATGGATCAAATGAGGACGTGAAAAGGGTTGCTAACACAGTGACAAGATGACAGTCATCTGACTGAAGTAGTATTATAATTATGCAGCATTTTAGCATCTTTTCACTAATTGTTTTGTTCCTACTGGTTTGGTTCACCGCCGCCGCCACGAAACCAGCCTCGACCACCAAGTGGTGAGAAACAAAGCTCCAAATCAGGTGCACGTAAGGGCCGCGTTTACGGCGTGTTCTGCTGCAACCAAGTGGCTAAAAAACGACCGCTATCCCCCACGCAGGACACACTTTCACACCTTCTGCTCTGCTGCAGATTGAGTTTGCCTCTTCCTTCCGTTTGGTGTCGTGTGTGAGTGAGTGAGAGCCGTCGGGTCGCGACTGCAGCTGACCGAGCCTGCGCCTGTTTTAACCGCCGTTGCAAACTGTGTGTTGTGCAGCACAGCTCCAGAAGAACAGTGGGGACACGTGTCCGTGCGAGACGCCCTGTAATCTCACCCGCTACGGGAAAGAGCTCTCCATGGTCAAGATCCCCAGCAAGGGCTCCGCTCGCTATCTCTCCAGGAAGTACGACAAGTCAGAGGACTACATCAGGTACGGGTGGGGGGGGAGACGGGTGGGGGTTCACCGTGTCTAAACCCACACGCGAGCAGTGATGTGGCGCTCAATAAAAAAGGGCCATAAACTCTGACCTACAGTCGCTGATAACAAACACACAACCCTGAATATAAAGCAAGGACAATTCTATTTTATTTTGTCTTCAGGTGAATCTTCTCGGAATTACACAATTTCATGGAAGCAAGTTGGTTGTCAGGTGCTTTGAGCTTCTAACAAGAATTATACTGGAAAGTTGAATATGTACATCAGTGTAAATGTTAGGACAACATTTCTTTCTTGCGCGGTTCTTAAACAGTAATAATAGTCTGTTAGGTGACTTCCTGTCTGTTACTAGGCCGCCACTTCCGAGCGGGGAAAATTATATATATATATATACTTTTTTTTACACAAAGAAATGCAGCCAATATATGCTATGAACAGTTTATTTATATTTCTTCCAATTTGGGTATAAGCAGATGGGAGTTTAATGTATTTAACACAAGGGGGCACCTGTGAACTCTTTGTGTACTTCCAAGGTGCAGGGAGGAGCGGGTAGCAGAAGTATACAAGTGGAAGAGAACAATATTTAAACAGGGTGGGTGTGAAGCAGAAAAATTGAGGGAAAATCCCATGAGGTGACGTCCCTCTCGCGCCGCACGGTGAGGCGTACTGAACAAATCCCGTTAATCCTGTGCCAAACGTTCTATTAAACATCGACTAACGCAGATTATAATAGATTTAATGCATTTCCAATGTGTTTACACGGTCCTCCCTCTTAACGTGCATAAACCAAAGCGCTCATGATGCCACACACCACGCATTACCAGACTTTGTGAATCCGGAGAGATCAGAGACGAGTCAGCGGCCGAGCGGGCCGTCGGTGTCCGTTCTCCTCCTCTCAATTAAACTTCGTTATCTCAGAATCACGGGTTTTCCGTGTGTGCGAAGCGCCGCAGGCTTTACGTTCCCATCATGGCAACTTACAGTGATCAGAGAGACGATATTTTACTCTAAGGACGTTAGAATTTGTTGTGAATTATGAAAACAGTGCTGGTGTACGTCACTGTGTTTGAGATGCACACTTCCCATTGTGTTGTTCCAGAGACAACTTCCTGGTCTTGGATATCTTCTTTGAAGCGCTCAACTATGAAACCATTGAGCAAAAGAAAGCCTACGACGTGGCAGGTTTATTAGGTAAGCTTTCCGCCACTTCTCTCCTCCCTCTCCTGAATATTTAGTGGCAGAATGACGGGTGGCTGCACTTGCTTTTTCATCAACATTACTATCAAACCGAAATGAACTTGGCACCACGTCCAACGTGCCGCCGCTCAAGCGTTTCTTCTTTTCAGGTGACATTGGCGGACAGATGGGCTTATTCATTGGAGCCAGCATCCTGACGGTCTTAGAAATAGTGGATTATATCTATGAGGTATGTGCCAGCACACACACACACACACACACATCCGGCCAATCACAATGCGGGACCAGAAATAGCTGTGATGTAATTAGCAAAAATGTACGCCTGGATTACGTCACAGATTATCGTGACTTTTGAGAATGTATTAAGAGTTTTTTGGCAAATCCGAGGGAGGGACGGTAATGTAGACATCAAACTCTTGACTCTGTGCCTCGTGTGTCGTCTTCGTCTTGTCTCCGTCGCTCACGTCTGCCCTTCCGACCCTCTCGGCTGCTGCTGGGGGGAAAGCAGATGATCAAGCACCGGCTACAACGTCTGCTGAGGCCGAAGAAAGACGACAAGAAGAACAAGAACAAGCAGCCGACCAGCACCGTTGCAACAGTGGGTCTAGAGGAATTAAAAGCAAAGGTACAGCACAACAAATAGCTGTTGTAACTCGGCCCCGCGGTACTGTGACTGCATTGGGGGGGATCTGATTTTTTAACTTCCAAAATAATGAGGAATGTGTTCTTTCTAATTAGTCTGCCCCCCCCGTCCCTGCAGCTTGCATTTGTTATTGCACATTTTACTTCCTCCTTCCCTGTCTCACATTTAACCACAACAGGGTTTTCACTCTTAAACAATGCGTCTGGAGTGACCCAAAAAGACATTTGATTTAAGTCCGACAGAAGTCACTTAAAACACACAAATGAATCATGTAAAAACTGTCCAGAGGCCGTTGGGCATTCATTTAAACTCCGGACAGTCGGGCTTCCTTTTCCCTCCCTGCTTCCTTTCTTTTTGCAAAGCTAAGCTAATTATTTCCTCCAGCTGCGCACCCAGATGTGACATTGATATCAATAGATTGATCTCACCCTCAAGGTGAATAAGCCTTTGCCAGAATGTTACATTTTCCTTTAATTACCACTGTATTCAGTGCTGAATCTGCAGCGTTGTCCCGGTGCTTCAGCCGCATCTGTTTTTTTAAATGACCTTGTCCAGAGAGTAGCTTTGCTGTAAGTCACATCTCAGCTTTGTCACGCGTGACCTTGCGCGTGACCTTTAGAGCATTACGTTGAAGCGGAATTGTTTTTTTTTTGTTTGTTTGTTTGTTTTTTCGCGCCTTCAGCAGGAGCCGAACGACACGTCACGGAGTCCCCCGGAGGGGGCGTACGCCAACACCATCCTCCCCAACCACCACCACCCTGTCCCGCACCCCCACCTCCCCCACCACCACCACCACCAACAACAGCAGCAGCAGCAACAACAACAACAACAACAACAACACCGCCACGCCGGGCGCCACGGGGTATTTGAGGACTTCGCTTGCTAGAGCCCACCGTCGTTTCCAGGCCTGGTGACACCAAAAGATTGAATAAAAACGCCGATGTTCAGACCAATAACGGACCCCTTGGCAATCTCCGTCGCTCCTTTTGCTGCCACCAGTGAAAAAGCTACAGCCAAAGTCAAACGCCAACCGGGTGCTGCTAACGGAGCACTTGTACGTACGTAGGCACAAATCAGACACCGCTTCTTTCTTTCTGTTTCTTTCCTCCGGATGGGACGCTCTCTCGACTTTGTGCGTCGGGACCAGTTGTCGACAAGAGGACTGCGTTTCACTTTGGTCGAGTTCCTACTCCAATGATTTATTTATTCAGCTCGCGTCTCTGATTTTCTTTTCTTTTCCCCGCCTGTATCTCTCCATTTGTCCCTCCTCCTCCGACTGTTCCATCACGGAAAACTGTACCATGAAAAGCCATTATGTAATTATTTAAAGACATGCTATTATATATATATATGTTCTATATTGTATACCAGGAGGAGAATACTTAGAAAATCTCACTCGCGTTCCATCCATCTAAAGGATGAGGGGATATATTTAGGTTGAACTGTAGACCTTTGCTTTAGATCTAGCAGCATCTTTCCACATGATACACTTTGTCTGGTTTGTGGTAAAGGTGTTAGAAAGTAGCATTGTACCTGTACATAAAGTCCAACTTTAAAATGAGAAAGTTCTAAAGTTCTGTTTCAATGGTTGTTGTTTATATTGAGTCAATATGTAACTTATGTAATATAAATATGAGTTATTTATACATTCAGAGATGACTTTTATATGACAATATAGCGCTCATGATTGTAGCAAATACTTAAACGTACAATCTGCAGATATGTTAGACTGCCAAACATCAATACATTTGTAAAGATAACAAACGGACTGTATGGATCGTGACTTGTCCATCTTTTTCCTCCCGTGCGTTCTTGCTTTCCCAAGAAGACACGCAAATCCTGGATGACAAGCGAATGTCTTCAGTAAGGAAATAGTCCTTCTTACGTTCTTCTTCTTCTTATTCAATTCATTTCTGCCCAGCATCCACTCTTCACTTTGGTTAGCATCATAACTTTGAGCTGACATAAGCAATAAGAAACTGAATTTTATTTTTTGCCGAGTCATCTGCTTCAGCTTGTGGGCCCTCTGTAAAAGTGTAGCAGCAATTTACTATGTAGACCCGGCATCAATACTCGTGTGTGTGTGTTTGTTTGTGCACTTCAACATTTTGCACACATGATTGAACATATTGGGCTGATGCGACTCGGCGGAAAAAAAATAAACGTTTGAAAATGGACGTAGTTAGCAAAAAAGCATGGAGCTTTATTGTGGTAGTAAGGTTTTTATCTATTAAATGTAGAGTTAGGACAGCGCAGGGTAAAAAGAAATGGCCCTGGAGGCCGAAATATTCTTACTGGGCAACTTAATCCTCAATGGATGGGACAATGAAAAATTTTTTAAAGCACAAGTTAGCAAAGGGGGACTGGAAAATAAAAAACTGGAGAGCTGATTCACACATTGATCATGTTGGTTGTTACCTGCTCATTTGCAGGAACTTTAACAACTTCTAACCCCGATTTCCCAAAACCTGGTCTTTTAAGAATGTCTGAGGCTTCTGGTGCTTCTTCGTGTGTAACTCTTTGCAGAGGGGAAGGTTCTGGATGACCGTCACCACTTCACTGTCAGATGAGAAGTGGGACAGACACCGACACAGGAAGTAATTCAGCAGTTCATTTTCGCTCACAGCTGTCGGTTGTCGAAAATGAAGTCAGCTGTCTATAAAATCCTTTACAGCTTCCCATACTTCTTTACTTTACTGTTATAATGTTAAGACGCATCTGCTTGATCGATCTCCATTAAGCACTGAAAGGACCTGGAAGCTGCATTTAGTTTAATCTGTTGCTCCGGGCACTTCTCCACAAAATGAGCGGTGGAAACATGGAGGCTTAACGGCAACTTTTGTTCAGTTCCTGCAGGGAAAGACGGCTTCAGACGATCTAAATCGCTACAGGCTGGTGCCGAGTTTCCAGGACTAGATGGACAAACTCGATTATCCAAACAATTTGGCATAACTTGACACCTTCCTTTGTGTCTACAGAAAGCGTTAACTGGGCCTCACAATGCGCTGACTTCTTATCTCACACCCCTATCAATGGGCTCCAGTTTAATATCACTTACAAGGACTGTATTGTTCTTTCTTATTTGTCGTCATCGAAGAAGCATTCAGGAAAGTGCATTCCAAAATGATGCAATGCCAGAGATGTGGTCTTTCTTAAATAACCCTCAACCACAATAGTGCAGTATGCAGTATCAGCACAGCCTTGATTTATTAGGAATGCTAGAGTGCAATACAGTTGTTCACATTCAGTTGACCTACAAAAAAGAGGAACAAAATCACAAGACAATGACATTTATCTTAGTGGAGATGTTGACCATGTTTCCCTCAAAGCATAAGAGCAACTTATTTGCCATCATGCAGCAGTTTGGGCCTAAAATAAAACCACATTTTTTTTTGTTTGCTAATTGTAAACAAATTCCGTTGGACTTCATTTCAGTAACTGCACAAATCAAACTAGCGTCACGCCTCCTAAATGTCCAAAGGCCTTTGACAGTCCACTCTGCACGTAACCCACAACATTCGTAAGGGGATCGTATGAAATACAACGCAAGGTTTCCGGTAATCTGCTGCAGCAGGATCGCCATTCATCACTTCTACTCACGATGAGTTTCCCCGGTCCTCCATCTGTCAAATTCCTTCCTCCTGTCAAGTAATCATGGGCCATACATGGCTGTTTAATATTCATAATCATGTGTCACTTTGACATTTTCAAAAGGTTCCCCATCACATTCTCTGATGGCGTCCTGTACGGGCCATGCATACCAATCTTCCCCTCTGTCATCAATAATTGTAGCTATCTGCAGACGAGTCACATGGGGGGGGCGGGTGTGTCGGGATGAATGCAAGGCCGCTCATCACCGCGAGGCTGCGTTTCAATGGTTGAAGCCATGAAACCAGCAGGTCTTCTATCCTCCGGGTGCCCGCTGCGCCTTGAAAAAACGCCACCAGACTAATTCCGATTGCAAAAGCGTCTGAAAACTGGGACGGGTCGATGACAGGCGGTGCATTTCATCGCCCCTCCACGTGATGGGCCCCCAAGGGCCCGAGCGCCCAGCGGACGGGACGACGTCCCTGCTTGGTCGCACGTATCTCGCATTCCTGGGATTCCTCAAGCCTCTACTCGGAGCGGCCTTCTTGCACATCTCTATTGGTCTCTCTGTTTGTAGCCCCGTGACGTTCGGTCACATGCACAGCTGTATGCGCAGGTTAAACAGGGATGTTTAATCCGTTCATCTGCCCTCCTTTTTGGGGAGGGGAGAGGAGGGAGGGGGTGAGGTCAGAGAGGTCATCTGAGCTGAGAGTGCAGAGTGACACGAGCAGCTGTCAGGAATTCCTTCTTGGGAAAACATTTCCTTAGAAGGAATTCCATCACGCATGTGACAGACGAGGAAATGTACCATCGCTGCAGCAACAAGGAAGGCTTACATGTTTGTACAGATGTGTGATCCTGAGATTGTTTCACACACAACACATTTTACAAATGGTAAATACAATAACCATTCAAGTTTAGATTGGTAAAACCAGTGCCTCATAAATCCAGATCGCAATTCAACACACGAGGTAAATCTCAGTTGGTTTTGACGCTCAAAGAGCCTCCGGGTACTTTTTTGTGATTCCGCTTCTTAAAATATCCCCCAGGTGAAGCCAGAATGAGGTGAAAACTGACAACTTCTTCTTTCCAGCAGACTCAAACGACCGTGTCCCTGCGTGGGAGGAGAAAGTTCTGAGATCAAACGTAAAACGCAGTACAAAATAATGACTTACAATTAACTTCCATCTGCTCTGTAGTTATGTGGTTTAACAGCATGCCTCAGGGTGGTTGGTGCATACGGACCCTTGAAATAACTAAAGCTATTATTAAGGCTGCAGCATTTTCCCTGTTTTTACCCAACCCAGACATCAGGAATACCTCCAGTCCGACACGGGGAGGAACGTTACCTGCGGTCCTGCGGAGGACGCGGCGCCGACTTGAACGAGTGAAACTCATCGCCGTTTGGGTTCGAAATATCATCTTTAAATGCCGTTCAGTGAGGCAGCAAGCGGTCCAGCACCTGTGCTGCAGACGGGAAACACGCTCTTTTGCTGACACCTAAAGGACAGTATGAACACTATAAAAAAGGTAATAAAGACAACAAAACGTGGAAATGTTTGTATTCAAATACTGTTTATTTAAAAATTATAATAATTCACAGTTCATTGGACGTTACAGCACACAAATGTGATGACTATTAATTCAAACGTATTGCTTTGGTTATAGTAGTACCCATACAAACAAAATGATCCAAATTTAAAAATGAGCCGAATGATTTGCCTGCCTTATTTTGTAAATGATTTACTTGACTGAAAGTGAAAGTAACAATAGGGTCAAAATCACATGATTTCCAAAGCACAAAATACAAAAAGTAGGATACAGTATATGTTTTTGTCACTAAAAATAAAGTATGAATTGCCGTGTACATAAAGCTACAACAGGCTTAAAAATAGAATCTATTGAATATTTATACATGTGCAGAGAATGTCATGAAAGCCTCTGTTAGTGCGCAATTCATCGAGAAATGGCAGATAAATAAGTTATGAACAAAATACTTAAGAGAGAAAAGGTGGCTTCTCTGACAACACGGGCCGATTAATCCGCCACGCTCACGTCTACGCAAGGCCGAGACCACGCGGGTCAACGCGGTGACGTCATATCGCCCCCCCCGAGGCCACCGCCTTCACAGTGGTTCAGTCGGTTTTCAACCCGCGGACGACATCAGCGTCGTAGTCGTCTGCTCTCTTGGAAAAAAAAAAAAGAGATGCGTCGTCTAATAACCTCGGTGGTCAAGGACCCCCCCTCCCTCCACCCTCCCCCTTCCCCCTTCCCACTGTGGACGTAGTGTTTCCAATCAGTAACTGACTCCGGTTAGTTAACAAAATGCCACGCCTTCGTTTGATGTCTTTCAAAGACAATTTAATGATGAAAAGTGTCTAGTGTCAGTAGAATACAATAAAGGTCTCGTCAAGAAGAAACTACAGTGTATTCGCTTTACTTTAAGGACGGTCAGTCAATGAACAGCAGTGCGGCGAACTAACCGCACCACAGCAAAGGTTATTTGAAGTGAAAAGTCCTGCGCTCAATCCGTCATCCAGCCAGTTGTTTTATCTGTAATATTGCACATTATAAAAAAACATTATTGTGTCCAGTAAAGCTACCAGCACCACTCGGTAACGTAGAAAAGGCCTCCCGTTGGACTGCACTGCGAGCGGGCAACTGCTCCCGAAACTAAGCTCATCAGTCACTAACTTACAGAACCTACAGCAAGGCGCTCCAAGGTACTTTGGAGTGTTTTCACACCGACAGAAGGTGATTAAACTCCCTGCTATACTTGATGGTTCATACATTCTTAATTTCAAATTGTTTCTAAAACTAAATACATCTTATTTCACGAGGACTCACCTGGGCAATCACTTCAGACATTTATTCCCCCCCCATTATTATTCAGAGTCCTCCTTTGCTTCCTGCCTGGAAATGTTTCTGGAACATCAAGAGAGTTGGTAGAGAAAACCTGAAGTCACGTACAGACTCCTGTAACGCTCTGGTCTTCATCTACGACCTCTGCAGACCAGCGACCGTCTCTCAGCTATGTAACCTCACCCGCAGTGAAAAGCTCCACACCTCTTCAGAAAAATGATTCAAGTTCTGATGAAAAACTTCAGCTGAAGGGGGTGAGCTGCCGAACTGTGTCACATAAAGATCGGATGTAAAAGGTCAGGTATGAAAGGTCAGTATCAAGGCACAAAGATGCGCTTTTGTTACTAGCAAATATATCAAATCTGAATCTGTGTGGCAGACACAGTAAACCTAACTGGGTAACCGGGACTAAGCCGTCAGAATCGACCTAAAGTAGTAACCAAGAGTAGCGTAAACATTACGTTCACGCAACTCATCCGTACAAACAAGTATTGTAAACATTAAGGGAACACTTTCATTGGGAAAGTTACTGCATTATTTTTCCAAGCCGGCTGAGAAAACACTCAACAATTCAAACGAGCCTCGATTCCCACCGACAGGTGCACAGGTGTCACGAGTGAGACTTCAACCCCCAGACATGGGTGCTCCCAAATCCTAGTACCCCCCCCAAAAGAAACAAAAAAAACACAGCTTTTAAACTTCTTTTTTTCGATCGCGGCCGTTTTGTCAGGTGCTGTTCCCCTGCTCCTGCTCAAACAGCAGCATGGCGAGCTGCGAGCGAGAACCCAGACCCTCCATGTTGCTCTGGACACACCGGTGGTAGATGTCTTCACTCAGCCGCGGGTTGCAGGCCCGGTAGCTGTACTGCTGGTGCAGCGCCGGCTCCACCGCCCTGAACACGTGCAGGCCCGAGTACTTCAAGAACATGTCGAAGATGTCCAGGGTCTCCAGGAGGTCCTCGTTCTCCTGGACGTCCGCCGCCATCCGCGAGCGCGCGGCCATGTAGTCCGTGTTGTAGAAGCACGCCTCTTCGAACGAGCCGCGGTCAAAGTGGCCCGCCTCCTTGACCAGATCGACCGCGGCCGGGTGCTGCTGGTTGTGGTAGGCCACGTCGGGGTTGAAGTCCTGGAAGTGGACGGGAAAGAACACCTGCCAGTTGTTTATGGAATTCATGCGGCAGCGGTTGAGGAACTCCGAGTTGACGTTTGTGTTGACGTGGGCCAAGAAGAACAGCGAGTCCACCGGGTGCTTCTTGGAGATGATGTCCATGAACTTGATCTGGGACGGCGTTTCCGTCTTGACACTTATCCACGGGACTTTCACCGTCGGGTACTTGTGTTCATACGTGCTTATCTGGGCCTTCACTCCGGCAAATATGTCGTTCTGGCTCACCTGCTGCGCCTCCACTGGGTCGTAGATGAACAAGAAGGTTAAGATGGCATTTTCGCCGGTCTCAAAGGCGTTCGAGGCGAAGACCTCGAGGAAACGGTCGACGTGGCCGCGGTCCTGCAGAGTGAGCGGGATGATGACGTGGATCCTCGTCGCTTCGGTGACGTAGGGCATCGGGATGATCTCGATCCGACTCAACGGTCGCAGCAGATGAACCCGCTTGGCGACGGAGCGGCTGTGACCGTTTTGGTTCACGACCTCCAGCTGTAGATCCAACGTGTACTCCATGCCCCGGACGGGGTCGAAGCGCCTGTAGCCGTTGATCAGCTGCTGCTTCTTCAGGTGAAGGACGGGCTTGTACTTCTTGTTCAGCTCCGTCACGGCGACCTCGATGACGTCGGCCACGTCCACGCGGTCGACGCCCCGCAGGTCACACTTTGGGGAGCCGTCGACGCACGAATAGATCTCCTCCTCTGTGAAGTATTCCCACTTCAGGACCTCAAACCGAGATTTCGGTTCGAAGGGCGGATTGATCCCAACGGGCCATTGGGCGCTTCGGTTGCCCTCGAAAGCCACCGCGCTCACGTTTTTTATCTCCGCCTACGGAAGACACAAGAGCCGCTCAGATGTGGACATTCGACGTAAGCAATGTGATCCGAACCACCTGTGATTGGTGACACTCGGGAGCAGCTTACCTGCAGCTTAGCAATCTCATCGTACGTCTTCTGGAGTTCAACCTCAGTGAAGTACCGGTGCAGCCTGTACATCTGTTCGGGGTCAGACACTGGATGGACAGTCAGAGCCTTCTTGAACGGCTCGCTTTGTTCTCTACTCGGGTCGGAGTTTTTTCCCAACTCATAATGGTGGTACTGAAGTCCCTGAGAGGAAACAGAGACGTCTTTTCATGAGGAAATTCTTAAATCATGAATCACAGAAACATGCTTATGTTGTTTTTAGTTTAGTGGGGTTTTTTTTTATCTTAGGTATGCAAACAGACTGGTTTACACCATCATTCCATAGTGAAGGGAGAACACAAATAATTCAATACTGTTGTACAACTTTCTATAATTCAGAGATAATTTCAGGACATTTTGGTAACATGAGGTTTACCAGATAAATTATCTTATCTTGTTTTTTCCCTCTTTTTAATTATCAATAAAGTATGTAGTCTCTGCAGGGTGAAGAGCAACAGTTGACCAGTTAGGGTTGAAACCAAATAGCAAAAAACTGGCACCAGAATCCCACTCAAAGACACAGTAACTTAAGCCGAAAACAGATAAGTTACGTAAGGAGCTTGAGTGATTAAAAAAAAAAAAAAAAGTGAATCCAATCTGATCAAGCTATTAAAAGAACAAAGAACGGCGACGCAGCTTAACAGAGCGGTGAGGCCACTCGGTTGTAAATGTTTGCCAACAGCCCGTGGTGGTACACTTAGTGGAGCATTAAACACGCCTAATCATCATCAACGTTGACTGACGTCTCGCTGTGCGTCTCCGTCCACACTAGGCTCCTTTAACCCCTCCCCCCCCTCACTTAGGGGTCTCTGCTGGAGCTCTTCTGGCCCCCCCGAGGCACTTGAGCTGGACTCACTAGAAACCGTGTGACAAGATGGTTTCCAGCACAGAGTCGTGGCCGCGGGGGAGCAAATGGACGGTGAACACGGCGTCGTAAAGGGCACATTTACATCGACAACCTTCGAACGTGTTGACAAATACCGCGCACACTTGAGCATGGACGAAGCGGCGCAAAGCTGAAAGGGCATTGGGACGGATCCGCCGTCCACAGAGCTCGTTTGACCCTAAATGCTAATGACATTACTGGAGCGGAGCATGTTGACCCACAGGGGATTTTCACACCATCGAACCTAAGCGACAGTGAACGGAGAGCGGCGCTCCGCTCGTCTGTTTACCTATTCCACGTTGCTGTGGGGCCGTGGGGGGGGTGGGGCAAAGGCCAAAGGGTAAAGGCTATTAGCGGTCCACTCTGTAATATAAATACCACCTCCGTGCTGGAGTGGTAATTAGACTTTTACATAGCGGTCGGTCACTTTTAAGCTCTCTGCTGGGACAGTTCCCCCCCCCACGTGGAGAAGGAGAACCTGAAAAAAATTTTTTTTAAAAGACTAAAGCAAAATGTATGAATCATATTATAAAGAACTTATAAAGAGCGTCGAGTGAGCTCAGCGCGATCACCTGATGATGAGAAGAGACTCCACCCACCTGATATTCACTGACGCAGTTGGTGCTGGTGTAGTCGATGATGCACCTTCCCAGCCACTCGTCGGGCCGGGCGCTCAGGATGTCGTTCCGGCAGTTCTCCAGGTGCGGTTGGAGCCGGAGGAGCAGCGTGCGGGACAGGACGTAGCCGAAGCCCCCGTAGCAGTACTTCCCTCGCATCCCTCCGCCTATGAACTCCTCGGGCAGGCCCATGTAAATCTCCCGATCCATGCTCAGGTGATCCACGAGGGCCTTGATCCGGTCGGCCTCCGTGTAGGCGTCATCTTGGGCGAAGTAGAACCAGTCGTACTCGTGGACGTGGCGGTCCAAAACGTATTTGACGTTCTGGAACATGTTCCAGATGGGCCGCTCGTCTCCGTGGGAGACGACAAACATGCCGTGGGGGACTTTGCGGTTGCGCGTGCCAGTGAAGAAGACCACCGTGTCCAGGTGATGGCCGATGGTGCGATTGACAGCTACGCCCAGGGTGTTGATGGTGTTTTTGGACGTCAGGATCCCGACGAAGAGACGCTCCCGCATCCCCAACTCTGTGCTTATGTATTTAGCCCTGAAAGACACACCAAACAGCTTCTGAATAAACGCTGAATATGGATTTACATTTTTTTTTTTTTTTTTTTTAAACAGAAGCAACCCTTCACATAGGCAGAAAACCAAAATAAGTTTTCATGATCATAACTTGTTACGTTTGTTCATTGCACTTCAAATTCATGGGAATAATACCAGTTTTAAAAGGGATTTTGGATCCAAACCAAATCTGTAGTTTTCCCCTCTGAGTTTCAAGGTAACCGCAAGTGTTTCGAAATATCCAGACAACGACCGGTTCTCTGGAAAAGCCAACAAGCAGGCACTTGAGTTTTGATTCATAACCGAACAAACAAATCGGCATTAACCAATAATCAAAATAACCATTGCACATAGTCTCATCCGACTTTTAAATATCCATCCCCCACGTTGGCGCTGGCTGACTGCAAACCCTGTGTGCTGAAATGCCCTCAGCCCGACTTCTCCGCAGGGAAAAGCCTCTTTCTCAGAACTGCGATGCGATGCAACCACTCTTGGGCGGGAGGGCGAACACTCAAACAAGGTCCCCATCCAGAAAACCTGGGGAACTTTTGTTTACAAAAGTAAATGTGAAAATGCAGAAGTCCCTCAGCACGGAGCCAGGGCCCCAAAATGTAGATACTCTCAGCTCTGTGCAGCTAGATGGGGGGGGGGGGGGGGGGCAGACATTCTGTGCCAATTTGCTGCTGATTTATACTTATTTACGATGTTTTGTATCACTTTGACATCTCCTGTTGCGACTGATCCGTCCCGTACTGGTGCGTGAGCTGGACCACTGGGTCGTCATTCATCTCCTGAGGGTGAACTATGACCTGCAAGGGCTGCAAACGTTATCCTCTGATGACGCGTCCTGTAAGCCATGTCCATTAGTCCAACCAGTTGAAGCAAATGCCCATCCAGCGCTTACCTGAACACCTTCTTTGGGGGACTCTGCTGGACTTGTTTGTACGGGACTATTCTGGGCTCGAAATCCTCCTCGGACTCCGCGTCGTTGAGGGTGGAAATGGAGTTGGGCTTTCGGGCTCCTCGCAGCTGCCCATCGTGACCCACAGTCACGTCATCGCCCTCCCCGCCGTCCAGGTAACACGCGTCTTCCGTCCAGTTGACGCTCAGCAGGCTCAGCGTGAAGCCCAGCGAGATGCCGATCACCACCGGGCCGACCGAGCGCAGGACGGAATTGAACGCGGAGAAGCGCATCTTGTGCTTTTCGGGTCCGAACGCGCGACGGCGCCCGCGTCGCTTCGAAACGGGTCCAAACGGGCCTCTGGTACCGGGAAGCAGGCCAACTACATCCAGCCCGAGTGCGGAGCGAGCGTGCGGCTTTTCAACTTGAGGGAAACGTGTAACTTCCTCCCTTGAAGCTCGCGCAGGGGTTCTTTACGTGTCAGTGTAGCTGCTACCTGGCTCCTCCCCCTCCGGCCAGACGTTAGCAGCGGGGGGGCGGGGCTTGTTCCAGGCTGCGTGGATGAGTTCAGGCTGCGCGGGAGGGAGGCGGAGAAACGCGAACTGGAACGCGACCTACGTCTGTTAACGCGTCCATTCATAGCAGTCATGTTAACGGAACTGTACAAATTAATGTATTTATCACGTTTCTTAACTTTCTAATTTAGCAGCTAATTACCTTTGTGAATTTTTACATTTTGCATAAACAACACATATGATCAAATCATGGCAATTGTCACTGACATCTGCGTAATTTATGATATGTAACATTTTAAAACGTAGGACTTTTACTTGCACAGTAATGCAGCACCTATTTTTTAAGTGTGGTTTGGATGAAGCTTTTGAGGAGTTCAGCCATCATGGGACTGACATGCTCCTTCATGCCTGTCTGAATTAATACCTTCATCGGCAGATTCATAGCAGCAAAGGGCCGAATGCACAACAACACCTCCCACTGCCATCAGCTGTCTCTCAGCGTGCTCTTAATAACAAACCCGCTGCTTTTAGCTCATTCATTTCATTTGAAGTTCTGTCTGGTAGGAAAAACAGCAATGATGATAATAAAATAGGGTTGTATATATACGATACATTTTATAACTTAATGGAAAATAACTGCATATTTTGTTTGTTTGGTTATAAAGGAAAGATTCAATGAATCTTAACAATATATATTTTGAATACTTTGTGAGAGTGTATTCTGGTTTAGCCTCTATGGATTGCAATGCTATGCTTTGAGCTTGGCAGCAGAAGATGGTCGATTTGTGTATGTTTTGCGTGATTGATTAAAGAAACTATGAACTTCTAAGACATCGTCTTAGAACATATTTTACAACGCAATGAAGTGAGTTGATGTTTTTGTCTCATGTGTCTGCCTTCACCCAGTTGACACCACATTACTTTATTGAATGATTTTTCCAGGGCTTGAAATTAGTACAACAGTGCACTGACCCACCTCAAGTTTCTCCAAACAATAATGACCAAAAATCCACAAGATAAGTAATCAGTGTGAACCAGATGTCTCGGTCTCTCTCTGCAGCCGGTCCTTGTGTATTTTAGTGATTAGCTCAGCTTAGAGCTCACCCACCTGGCCCTCTCTCTTCTCTATCTGGCCTCTGTTCTCCTCACCCAGATGTCAGGGCAATCATGCTTTCTTGGCAGCCGATCCTTCAACTGCATCTTTGTGAGTCCTTATCTGAAGTTTGCTGCCACTGATCTCACTGAGACCTCTGTCCTCCATGTATGTAACATGTCATTAAAGTATGAAAGGTGTGCTCCCTTGGAATATTGTCATTGTGCTTTAGTTTATATCCTCTATCGGCTTTTGCACTTAGTCAGGCACAAATAGTATTTTAGCTCTCTTGTGCCTCCTGGTGGCAGTTAAGATACTTGCCTTATTGATCTGAATTTCCATCACGGTTATTCAAGGAGAATAGAACAAAACATTACTATTAGTAGTCAACATTTGGAATTCATTGAAATCAACGAGTGAATAAATATCATTTTGTACCTAATTTTCTATAGTTATATTGTCTTTACTATCGGTCAATAACCTTTTTTTCATAATGGTCGACCAAGGAAGAAGGTTAATGTTTTATCTTTTAGAAACCAGAAAAGACATTTTGTCACTTTCCCATATTGGATTTCCAAATTATTTAAGGTGTGGACTATTTCACGCAGACTGCAAAAACTGTTAAACAGAAACTGACAAATGTTTCCAACTCCAACCTCACAGAAAGTCTTTGACGGTCAAAGTCATAGCCCCGACTTTTAATCACTGTAACTTCCTTTTGCTCAGTGTATTTTAATGCAGATCCTCATTTGATTAAATAAAATTGAAATGTTGTATCTCTTGAAACTGAATAATTTAAAGGAGCAATAGGATTAGGATGCATCTAGAAGTGATGTTGCTGAGTCCAACCAACTCTTCTTCCCAAGTCTTCCAAGAGTGTAGGAGAACAACGGGAAAACTTTGAAAACTCTAAAATGTAACTTCTAGATCTAGATTCCGTTTGAGTGGTCTACTGTAGAAACATAGTGGCCGGCTCTGTGAAGAGATAATAAAACGGCTCATTGCAAGGATCAAAACACAATTATTCAATTACTAAAAAATATAATATTTGCATAGATCACCCTTAGTGCTGCACACTCCGTGGTTAAAGCACAGTACAGCTTTGACGGATGTTATATTTACATTTATTATGTATTATGCCAAAGCCTCATTTAAACTTCAGATAAGCTGCGGAATGAATCACTTAGATTGAAAATGCACTGGGATGGGACATTTTAGGCCGGATTTTAGAGGAGAAATGCAACTAGCTGGACGCCAAACGGTAGGTATTGTATTTCGCAGAGAGCTAGTTGCTCCCATACTCCTCACGAGCCACTGAACGCACCACCTTAGGTGTCTCTGTCGCTGCCTGAAGGAAACCCAGACGTCACCGGCAACGGCGCCGCTTCTGCCCTTCAACGCTGGAGTTGTTCCTCCTCACACGCTAAACACCATCGCGTCAACAGTTCGCCCACGACTTTAAAAGCAGCTTGAGGATTATTCTCGTTTTATTCCTCCGTTCGGTGTTTCCGGGTCTAGTCCATCGCGGGAATGGAGTGTCGTGTGTTGTCAATCCAGAGTCATGTTGTCAGGGGATACGTCGGGAACAAGTCTGCTACGTTCCCTCTGCAGGTGAGAACCGGATCACACACATGCAAGTGGCTCCACGAGACCTGATCCGCTTGTGCAACGACACGTGAGAAAAAAAAGGAGAGAAATAGATGTAGAACATGCTGGTGGTGCAAAGCGGGACTTCCTGATCTCTAGGCTTCTTATCTTTATTTAGACGCAACAGGGACTTTTCCTCTTTCTGGCCGTTTTATAATTTATAAGATAAGATATATCACTAAAGTGTCTACAGGGATCAAGCAGGGCAAACGATATGTGCATTAATGTGTACAAAAGCATTCATGTTTGGGTTTTCCTTTGAAACATTTAAGCTTCAGAGATACTATTCTGCCGTTATATCTGGACATTTTTTTTAAACCGATTGAGTTATCACGTGATTGTATTTGGTCTCCATCGGTTGGACAGCCATTGGTTTCTTTTTGTTCTCATGTCACGCAAATCGATTATAGTGAACTTCGTATTTGCATCATTCAAAGTACGTCGGTCTTTCCAAAACATTTGCATTTTACGGTGTTTATTTCAATCAAGTTTCCTGCAGAGGCTCTTTGGGATCATTTTCAGTCTTTCCGTATTTAAGTGCAGAGGAAAACCTTCAGAAACTAATTCATTGTACAACTCTATTAGAACGTGATGTGATTTATTAGAAGTGAACTAAATACATAAACACTTACGTCATTCCATCAATCATCACAAAATACGTGTCTGTGGTTTTCTCACTCGGCTGAAACTCAGAAATTCCTGTAGAGCCGGTGTTGTATATTGTAACATAATTGTTCAGTATTTTAACATTAACTCCTCTTTTCTCAGGTGCTGGGCTTTGAAGTGGACTCCATCAACTCCGTTCAGTTCTCCAATCACACAGGTTGGCTCAGTTTCACAAAGTATATATTGAGTTATTATCCACTTTATTAAGAAAAAAACCATAGACCCTCTCGTCTTTTTATTTGAATACGAAGCGAGTAAATGAGTTTTCGTTGCTTCTTAGAACGCACGCTAAAAGAAGATGGATTTGATAATAAATCCTTGGCTTTGTGAATTATTCACTGGGTTTGTGATGCGTTCAATGTATTTGTCGAGGACATTTTGTGAGAAACAACCGACACAATCAAGTTATTCACTGCTACTCGAACACACACAATCAGATTGATTGATTCCTAAAACTCCATCAAGGGGCGGACAGAAGAATGTTTACACCACATTTATTACAAGTAGTCAAAAGAAGATTGCTCATTGGATTTCCCACATGAAGTTTTGCAAGTTCAACCGGACCATCTGGAGCCGTAGAGGCCAAACCCCTGAAGTATAATGCAACGAGGAAGGGCACAATTTATTGTTTATAAATTCAGCATTTATTTTAAAACTTTCACACAGTGTTATTTTAAGGTATTTTATTCAGATAACTGAACAGAAGAAGATGCCAGTAAACAGAATGGTAAATATGATATTGTTATCCCACATACGATACGACCTTTACTGTGGTTATTCTGTGAAAGAGGGCGGTAAAAACTCCATTAAAAAAATAGAATATAATAGGATGGAATTCGTATTGTTGGGTCAATTTACGTTCACAATGGAAAGTCCTAAAAAAACTCCCTGATTGTTTTCTTCTTGAACGCCGTGCAGCCTGATGTTTTTCTTAGCAGTCTGTTATAAACAAACCTTTGTACTTACTTTTTCTTCTCCTGCTAATCTAGTTTAAGGTCCACTGTTTGTCCTTCAACTTTCAGCTCAGCAACAGACAACATGCAGGGAACGAACCACTCAAACACGCATCTTCTCCCTGAAACCGCGCGTGTGTGTGTGTGTGTGTGTGTGTGTGTGTGTGTGTAATCCCCTCTGGAGAATTGTTACTCTGTTTGCTTGAATCCATCTCTTTACTTCACCCCTCACAAGGAAATCCCGTTATTTCCACTACAATAATCTGGACTTCACCCCCCCGAGTATGTGAAGAATGTACTTTCGCCACAGGGGAAGCAGAATTCTCCCCACTTAAATCCAAGCACCTGCTCTTGTGTGAGGGGAAAATAGTCCGCGTGGAGTAAATGACATAACGGTGTAGACTGTAATTCTAATTCTAATACACTTTCAGAAAAGTTCACTTCCATTGGAGCCTTTGATACACAAGCTCCCCTCCGACCTCGAGCTTTCTGCTGAGTCCTCACTGCGGGGAAGCGCCCACTCGCTGGCTCGGGGGTCAACGTGGGCCTCCATGAGAACAGTGCGGAGAACAACACAAGTGTGGTTTCGTGTCCGTTTCTCCGTCCAATCATCTGCAGTCAGAGCAGCGTTTTGGGGGGTTTATTCTGGGTCAGCGGAGAAAAAGAGGGAACAAAGAGAGCTGGCAGCCGGGATACAGGCGTCCCATTCAGTGGATGTGGAGGCCCCCGGAGAGGGAAGAGGAGCCTCAGCGGAGACGGGAGAGAAACTTTAAAAAAAAAAAAAACACACAAGATTGATTTGCAGCGCGGTTCATGTAACAATAAAACTGTGTGTCAACTGGATCCCCCAAAAGTCCTTAAAAAATCCACACTTTTTAATCTCCCTCTTGAATCGTAGGCTACGCCCACTGGAAAGGGCAAGTGCTGACAGCAGAAGAGCTGAATGTGCTGTACGAGGGCATTAAGCTCAACCAGGTCAACCGCTATGACTACATCCTCACAGGTGAGTCCACGGCGCGTCACCGGCGGTACAAATGTGAGTCTTCAGCTGTCCTTCAACAGCAGCGGCAGGAAGCCTTGATGTAGTCCTGCGTGGAGGGGCACAGCCCCCACTACGTTTATTGATTGTCGGAGTGTTAGATTTGACTTTAAGAGGCACCACGGACCGATTGATTCTATTTGAATGGTACTTGGACGGGGAACAGCGAGGTGAAACAGGCTTTTCTCTTCATCACACTTTCAATCTTCAAGGGTACAGCAGAGACTCGTCCTTCCTGGAGACGGTGGTGGACATTATTCAGGAGCTGAAGAAGGCCAATCCCAGCCTGGTGTACGGTCAGTGTCCTCGTTTTTTGTTTTTTTTTAACATTGCTCATATTTCAAGGTTGGATAACCAATAATTGATCCATCTGTTTTGATAATCCTTAATCGTTTCGTGCTAAAGATTCCCTTTTTCCAGCTCCTCCCTTGGGACAATTTGCAGTTACCCTTTATGATGCACATGTAACAAACCAATCAATTGACTGTTAATCAATCAAATCCAAATATAATAATCATTAATGACATCACCAGCCGAATGTAACTGTTGTGCTGAGTATTAATTGTTAGCGACAGCCATAAACAAATGTAACCCTTTGTCCTCAAGCCTGACTTGACGTCTTCTTTTCCCCAGTTTGCGATCCTGTCATGGGAGACCACGGTGCCATGGTGAGCGTCTCAAAGCTCCTCCTTCTTTTTTTTAAAAACTAATCTGTATGCAGAACCAATCGTGGCAATTTCATTCAGGTTTCTCATAACTTTTTCATTTTCATTTCACTTTCGGAAACCCATCGTTGTTTCTGTTTCAGTACGTTCCAGAGTACCTGCTGCCAGTCTACAGGGACAAAGTAGTGCCTTTGGCCGATATCTTAACCCCCAACCAGTTTGAAGCAGAGTGAGTTCGCTCGCAGTCATCCTCAACACAGTTAATTATTAGCTAATATGGAGGAACATAAGAGGACTCATTTGTTCATGATTCAATGCAGGTAAACACCTGATTTGTATGCTATTGAATACTGGCCTTTTTTTACACAGGCTGCTAACTGGGAGGAAAATCACCACAGAGGAAGATGCGCTTGAGGTGAGCATCACGCATCTTCCTCGCGCTGCTGTGTTTGGTTTCTCTTACTTGACCCAAAGAAAGCACCGGCGCTATAACGGGACGCCCCTGCTCTCCAGGTGATGGACTTGCTTCACAAACTGGGCCCAGAGACCGTAGTCCTCACCAGTACAGACCTGCCATCAAAACGTGGGGACCAGTTCCTGGTGGCCCTCGGGAGCCAAAACATAGGTGAACTACCAGGACCCCGTTCTCCAGACCCAACGTCCACTTTGTGCTGTTTATGAGACAGAACCGAATCTGACTGGTCGTTCGGATGTGTCCTCACTGTAGTGAAAGCAGATGGGACCAAAACCAGCCAGAAGATCTGCATGGACATGCCCAAAGTAGATGCTGTGTTCGTGGGGACAGGAGACCTGTTTGCTGCCATGTTGCTGGCCTGGACTCACCATCACCCTAAAGACCTGAAGGTCAGCGGCACACAGACCAAAGAGCGGTGGAATCTGGTCCTGCTTCACTTACACCGCAATGCACCAGTGAGCTTTGTTAACTTATCTCTCCCGTTTGCTTCCACAGGCTGCCTGTGAAAAGACTGCTTCTGTCATGCACCATGTCATTCGGAGGACCATGACGTATGCCAACGGTAGGGATTGTGTGTGTGTGTGCGGCTTAGATGTGTCACGTGGGGGCGCTGCTTTATCCTGAAGGCGTTGACTATCTCACAGATTGTTTAATACCGTGGCGCGTTGAGAAGACGTTGATTACGTTTACAAGGAGGCTGACGAGAAACGTCACAAGCGCTGCCGTGCATGAGGACGTTCACCGAGATAAGAATGACTCCTTTTCGCTGCTCGGCTGGCCGATCCTCCGAGTTCCACGCGTTGATATTTTGGTTCCAACTGCCCTTGTTGTGTGTTTCAGAGATGGCCGGCCCGGGGAAAAGGCCCAGCCCTGCACAACTGGAGCTGAGGATGGTTCAGAGCAAAGCCGACATCGAGAACCCTGCCGTTGTGCTGGAAGCTAGGGTTTTATAAATGTCTTCCCGCTGAAGGCGGTAGCGTCTCCCCGGACGTTGACATCTTGCTGGTAAAAAAAAAAATCAACTCTGAAATCAAATGTGGGCGGGCCGCCACACGCGTTTAGGATCGCCACATCGAAGACTCCCGTGTCTCTGCCTGACAGAAACTCTGAGGAAGTAAAACAATGTTTTCATGAGCGCCTTCAGCAGGGTCTGTTGATATGTACATTCTGCTCACAGACACACTGGAATCAGTGCCATATGCTACTATGGTCTGTGTAAACAGCATCTGCCAATCAATAGAAAAAACACACTATTAGACAACTGGCTTTAGGTCTGAAGATAGTTTAAGTGTACTTCAATCCTGGACATCATTAAAATGTTGTAAAAACAACTCATAAAAAGACACATCTGATGCAAATAATATGTATTCTCTAGTTTCCTTAGCCCAAGTTGTTTCACTGCAATTGCAATTTAATGATAATCATCAGAATAGTTGTTGACTAAAATTGTTCTTTTAATCAACTTTCTGAAAATGTTTTTTAATTATGCATTGATGTCTTGAACTAGCAGATGAATAACATGTTTAGATCCATGTCTTAATCATCTCAAATTGAGGTATTTGCACAGATAATCTTAATATATTTCCTAATGATCATTGTCTTCTTCTTTTCCTGTTGTCATATCCTAACTAAAGAGTCTGTATGAGACACCATCCTGTTTATAGCCTTAATGGGGGTTAGAAGATGTTAGAAGAAGAACATTGGTTTTGAATGTTTTCATGTACCAATGTAATAATTGATCCTCACGGATGTTATAAATTTAAGTGCCAAACCTCGAGCTGCTGCTCTGACAGAAAAAACAACAACATAACAGAAATAAATTATTAATATTTTTACTGAAGTTGTGTTTTGATTTTATTCATTTTTTATTTATTGCTAGATTTTGACATGAGCCCCCGGGCATGTGGCACATTTTCATTTTCTATTAACTGGCTAAAAGCAGACTGAAGGCACTTTTCTAAAAGGTGTTCACAAGAGGGAGGCAATTTTACTCTCGTCTTCCATACAAATAACTTTTTTTATTCTACAGACCTATAACCCCCAAATTAGGTTGAGGTTGAATATGCTGTGTACAAGTATACTGTGTGATTAGGGCCAGGTGAAGAGTGGTTTTGTCAACGCTAATCCACAGTATGAATAGCAGGCATTGACCCAAATAAGCAGGCAGGCTGATGTGTCGGCTCAACTGCAACCTGAATGCAGTAAGCAAACGTAGAAGGAAGCCTTGTTGGTGTTCCCCTGGTCTACAGTGTAAACGTAAAGCTAAACTCTAGGCTCTGTTGGGAGAGAGACAGGATGGTATTGACGCAGTGACCGGTTCGTGTTTGAGACGTTGTGACTCCACTTTCCTACTTACGAAGCAGCTATGCAAAAACACCAGCAGAGGGCTAAAGAGGTGAAAGGTCGATCAATACCTATCCTGGGAAATAATATCACTTTAATTGCATGTTAACGGTCGTGGGATTTGTAACAAAAATATTCGGTAAAAACTTAAAGTAGCCTTATACCTTAAGATACTGTATACCCAATTCATCATGTTTCAGATATTGCAATATTCTCTTGTGGAAAACAAGCATTGTTCGTATATTTTTTGGATACTGGAGTTTTAACTGTCTCAGACAAAGGAATACTTACAACATCACGTTAAAACAGGATGTACATTTTCAATAGTTCGTCCACTAGCTTACAAACTAATCACAATGAATCAGTAACATACACAAAATACATGTGTCATTTCACCAAATACACTTGTACTATGCAACCCCCTTTTTTACCAGCACTTTAACTGTACTACGTGAATCGGCACGTTTTGGCGATCGCAAGGGCCGTTGTTTAAAAAAAAAAAAAAAAAGATTGCGCATTTTACTTTATTAATGAGCAGGAATCGGGGGGCCGGACCGGATGTCGGGCATTCCACCTTCACACGGGCTTTGAGGAGGAAACGTGGAGCTTTGACAGGCAAACAATAGCGCTCTTGCAACTCGCACTGCCGCAAGTCCACGTTTCAGTGCGTTTAAGGAAGACCGGCGAAGTGGAAATAAGTACTTAACCGAGTTATTTTACGCACCCGCAGCTGAGGGAGAAGCGAGCAAGTTGCCCGAGAATCTACCGACTCCCCGAGTGAATAATTCCTAGGTAAGACGTTACTGAGTAACGTTACCGACTGCTAACGTTAGCCGCCTAACTAGCATAACATGACAGTGACACGGGCGAGTTGACTAATGACGCGTAATGTAAAGGAAGAATGTCGTTTAAGTAGCTATCGAATATCCAAGTAGCCGTCAGCGTACCCCCACTCCCTCCACCCCCCACCTACAGTTGTTAACTTGGCTACACCGGGTTTGCTAACGTAGCATGCTAGCCCCGTGCCGTTAGCAGCCCGCTCTGTCCTTGTGCTGCCGGGCTGAGTTGCGCACTGACCCCGGGTAAGAGGCTTCCGCCACCCGACGTCAACGCATTCGTTCTCCCCGAAAGCAGTAGCGTGGCCCCGTGGACAGTTTTCACCGTGTGACGCATGGACGTGGAATGTTCTGTGTTTGCAACTTTGACTTCACCGCGGCGCGCAGCTAGCTTAATTTGCCCCGTAGCCAGCCCCGGCGCGGTCACAACCATGTGTCACCGGTTGGACGGAAGGGGAAGGGGGGGGGGCACGCCGGCTAGCTAGTCCCATTAGCTCGTCTGAGCCGGGCCACGTTGTCAACGGAGGTGTCAATCGGCGAGGCCTGCCGCGAGTGACTGAAAGGTTGGGGTCGTGTCGTATTTGAGAGCCGTTTGTGCCCCGCTGTGTGACGTGACGTCACGGGAGGCGGTTGGGTTCAGGGGGTTGACCCGCGCTACGAAGTCGCACCACAACATCAGATGCGAGGTCACTGCAGTTCATTCCAGCCCCGCGACTGTTTTAGCAAGTGGCAACTTCAGGCGTTCGCTTTAACTTCAAGCAACGGAGTCAGCTGTGTGTGTGTGTGGGAGGCAAGTAATGCTACTTTGATTATTTGGATTTTTAAATGTATTTAATTAGTTTAAAAAATGCTTTTGACTATTAATGCATTGTCTGTGCACGATGCAGCGGACTATAATTTGTTAACTGCAATACTGCTTGGTTGTGCTAGTGGTGAATGAGTCATTTTGAGAAATTATGGTTCATTTTGAAAGCACGTGTATCGTCTTTGTAAATCTGATATATGACTGGTAAATGACCACTTTATTTTCTGCTGAGAATCACTCCTTGAATTCTCAGTATCTGAGTCAATAACACTTTTATCCTCCTGACCACAGACACACTCACCAGCTGTTCCTTTTTAATCAGGTAAAACCTGGAGAAAATATTAATTATGATGTACTGTAAATTAGAAGACTGCAGACATCTACACCCACAGATTTCAACATGGTAAAAACCCTTCTGGCCAACCCGAGGTCATTAGCTTCTTATTTTACTAATGTGCATAGCAAATTATCTATTGCTCGCTCAGTTTCTATTCTATTTTATTATTACTTCATAGTCCACAGCATTTTAGTAGGGGAGGGAATCTCTTGGCACCTCCTGATCCGATTCAGAGGTCAACGATTCGATTCTAAACCGATTATTGATTCTAAACTGATTTAAAACGATTATCGATGTATCTCGATTCTCTACATTTTCTCAAATCTGAGTTTGCTACTCAGAGGTTGCTAATCACTTCCTACTTTATTTGATACTTGGTCAATTAAGAAATTGTTGGTTGAAAGCCCAAAGACCTGTTGGCACCTAGAAACCTATTGAACTCTTATGAAGTGTTGCCCAATAGGACTTTGAGTTACACATACGTAGAGAAACCTTTGCCATTTTAAAAGATAATCCTACCCTAGCAGTTTTATTAGCCGTGTAAACGTTTTTGGGACCGTTCAATTCCAAAGAAACTTAATAGTGGTAATACTCAAGCCGTTGACTTAACTTGCCCTTTCTCCTTTCGCAATCGGCCCCATTTATTTTGCTGACTACAGCAAGAAGCACCATCTTCTCTCCTTGAGACCGTATCAGTGATCACCTCTTGCTGTAGCTCTCTCTACAGTCCAGAGCACTTCGGAGGGGTTGTACCTTAAAGTGACGGAAGGCCATTTTATGTCAGCGATTCACCTGCACTGCTTTGGCAATCCACCGGCTGAGCGCGATCCAGCTATTGGACGCCCCTCACTTTTGGCTGTAGTGATGGTCAGAGGGTGTCTTAAAGCGATCACTCTGGGTCAAACAAACCACTGCCATTGCTATTGAGTGCTCGTCATTACAGTGTTTCCTTGCCCAGGATGAAATACTTTGAACCATGGGTGACATTCATTGTCGAGCTGTCATTTATTTGTATCCTTATTTAAATTTGGTGATAAGGCCTCAGGTCTGTACTCTAACCTTTTGACCCATTTGCTTCAGTAAACGCCGGAGTCCCGTTTCTGCATCTCCGTGCAAGCTTGTCTGAACCACATGTGACATTAACTCTGGCTCGGGGCCCGAAGGCGTGCCCGCTGGCCCCGTCTGCCCCATCTGCCACTACCGATCTGTTGTACATAACGCCCTGGTCCCACGGTTTTGACAAGAAGACAGACAGACGGACAGAGAGCAGATGTTGAATGAACATCGCTGATTTCCAGGCCTTTGGTTATTTCATTCTCAATTACACCAGAACGAAACAAAGCACAGTTTGGCAACACGCATGAAAAGGTCACTTAAGGAAACGGTTGTCCCTCCCTTCTGCCTGGTGTGCCGTTACTAACAGGTGGCCAATGGTGAGGTGAGAAATTCCACTTTCGAATTTGTTCCTTTAGCGTAACAGATGCCCCACCGCTAACTCAACCTTTTGTTGGGGAGAGCTTTCTTTTCTCCTTTTGTAAATTTTAATGAAGTGTGACATATCCAGGGTGCCCGTAGCTCGCTAATCAGCCCTAATCTCGTCCATTGGATTAGAGGATGGGACCGCATGTAAGACGGTGCTTACAGCACATGCGTCTCCCCGCTTCCCGGACTGAGCCTCCTCTCAGCCTCCGTGGTCTGTTACTGCCCTCGCGCTCAATGAATATCCATGCTTATTGGTCTTTTTCCTCGTCACACAGAATCTCTGCTAGTTGCGGACCCTGTCTCTGAATAGTCGCCGCCCAAGGGAGTCTCGGATCTGGCTGTGTTGCTCCTAATCCCTGTGTCTCCTTCCGTGGGATTATCATGGAGATGAAGCAGTACAGCCTGTGACTGTCCACTGCTCTGTGAGGACTTTCCTTCATGTTCTTTTATCATACTGGCTTAATTTGGTGAACTACCAGGAGCCAAAATGCTGAACCAGAGTGCTGTGATGATCTTCACTGGGATCTGTGGGGCATTGGTCATCATGGCAATGGCCTACTATGTCTACTGGTAAGTTAGTTTGTTCCGCCGGGCTGCGACCGGCCCAACCAGCTTCATCAGAACTTGTAAACGAGGTGGAAGTCAGCATGGGGCTCCAGGGCTGAACCGTGCACATTGGCAAGAACAGGGGAGACCTCTGCAAGCCAAATTACGTTTTTTAGAATTGAAATGACTCGACAGCCAGGATGAGCTGAAGTTTTGCTTTTGTTACGTGCATTTCCTCGGTTCTTCACAGCAGAAGCAGCTGTCCAGCCTTAAGCAGCTTTAACGCAGCCAGCGCCTCTAATCTTTGTGGTTCCAGGTGGGCCTGAATCCACAGGGACAGTGGTCTCCTTTGGCTTGTTTTTTAATGGTCAAATCAAATGTTTGTTTTTTGAAAGGGGATTTATTCCTTATGTTAGGAGCTCCTTAGAACGTCAGCGTAAACAAATATGGAGCACCTGAAGTCTGGTTCAACGTGAGATGTTTGGTTTTGTGTGATAATGTGGCTCATGCTCAGTGGTGGTGATCCGAATGTGAATATTGTTTTTACCAAAATGTGTTTTTACTGTCCACTCTTAATGAACTGCTAACCTGGATCGCAGATCCAATCAATCACGCTGAGCACCAGAATTATTTAGTTATTGTGTATTCAGTTTAGTGTTATTTCAGCACACGTAAAAATAAATTTGTGTGCATAAATGACAAAGCTTTTGAGATTGTTGTTTTAACCATACTTCTTCAAACCAGGGACCCTTGATACGTTTCTTTTTACTGTTTGTCTTTGTTATAACTCTTAACCAAATTTACGTGATCCTTATTAAATGTTATATTCCTGTATTGTATCAGTCCAAAGAGATTGTATTTATTTTATTTTGTTGTATTTTTGTCAGTGTAAACACTAAATCGACTCTGTCTGCTCAGAGGATGACCTCCCAGTCTACTGGCTTCTCGTGCGCTTTTATTTTTTTATAGATTGTAAAAGTGTGCGTCCAGCTGCGCGTCCAAACACCCCAGAGCGTCTGTCAGGGTGGGCGGCAGACAGAGCTGTCCTCATGAACCCTAACGGTAGAGGAGGTCGGACCAGCTTGGGTAAACCGCTCTGGATGTCCTTTGCTTTACTGACTGTTTAGAGCAGCCAGCAGCTACGAGCGTCTCTGCTTCCTCTTCATGACCGTTCATACCTCACATCAGTTAGTGTTGTGGTTTGGTCATTTTCAGTCTGTAGAAAGAACAGTCGCGGAACCCGAATGGATTTTACTCTCAATTACTCGTATCATCGGATCATCCCGCATTGAAATAAAGCCAAAGAAGATCAGAATGCCGCATTCCCCAAGACACTGTTTTACCATTTAACCGTAATTCTCAAAGCAAATGTGTCGAGTGCTGCAAGTTACAGCCATTTTAGGGAAGGAAAGTTATATTTTGTGGCGGCGTGAATGCGCACAAATTCTGTGGTGAGACACTTTGCTCTCAGCACTGTGAATTAAAGCCTCCGTTTCATCCCGAGTGAAAATGTGTGGCGGTTGTAAAAAGGCTGAAAGAAGGGGGGTGTGGGAGAAAATTGGGACATGGTTCATGTTCTGTTTGGGGAATCTGTCTCTCGACGCTTTCACAGAGCAACTGCTTGTTGCCACAATAGAATTTGATATGGACATTTCTGCACTCGCTGCTCGTGGCCAACAACAAAGTGAATCTCTTGCTCAGCTTGATTTTCATACAGTGTCATGTAGTCGGATTCTAAATGCAGATGAATAAGTTAATGCACTTAAAAGAAAATGTATTGCGCATTTAGCGTCCTCAGTTCCTCTCTATCATGCTGACTGAAACAAAATGTCACCTATCTGCTGTCGCATTTTGCATTAACGTCACGCTCCCCTCTTTGCTTGTTCTGCCCCCCCACCGCTTTCTAAATATGTCACAGGAGCCGCAGGATAAATATGCACCAGTGTGACTTTGCCCCTTCAAGCCACTCTCCCCCAGTACGAACAAAGGTCATATATCTGTAACAGGGTTTACAGAGACAACTGTGGATGTTTGTACCGATGAGCTGATCCATCAGGCGATTGAGACGATGCACTTGTGAGAGTCTGTTGACACATTGCTTAAGAAACATTTTATGTTTGCATGTACGGTTTAACTTCCTTCACCCCTCTGCTTCTTTGTTGCCCTGTGGGTTGGTGTTGGTGTTTGGAGGCGGACCTGTTGTCTCCATTAATTGGCCACTATTTGTCCGGCTCATGAATACAACTCTGGTTACCGTATCGCTACGGAGATCTGAAACGGGACGACTCGGATTAGAAAAGTTTCTGAGAACAGCTTTACGCTGGCTTAACCTGCACTTTAATGGGCTTTGGTACAGATGTGGGAACTGTCAAATCATGCCTGGGTGGCCTGTGCACAGCCTGATGGAGAGTATCCACTAGTAGGCGTTCTGCTTCCTCTGGACCATCGGAATGAAGTCACTGGAATGTTTCCTTACCACCCGCTCTGGAGCTTTTACTGGTGTAAAGTTGTCACACATCACTTTTTCTTTTCCAAGAACGATCCCTTTTGAAAGAAATGCTCTTTGCTAATAGTGGAAGAACCTGTTCTACCGGACGACGTGTCTGGGCTGATATATATATATATATATATATATATTATTAGAAACGTTTATTAGAAGATAACCTGCTATGTATACCTTGCAGTAACTCCACTAGATGAAACATGGTGGTTAAGAATAGCTGATGTAAAGGCCACCCGGTCTTATTTTGTCCATATGCAAGTGGCTTAAACATGTGGCAGATGCCTAATAATATAGATCCTCGACCACAAAAAGGTCAAGCCTTTCCCAGCATGCTTTGCAGAATCACAGTGAAATACTGAACAACTTCAGTCAGTAAATGTGTTCGACCTGTCTGAGAGAAACAAGAGTCGGCTCACAAAAGCCTCTGATGGAATTAAATGCGCTTAGACTGAAGCTAATGACAATGTTTATTTGATTAGTTTTTGTCGCTAGCATAACGTTCTCACGTCATTGATTGGCACTGTTCATTCAGATCACCTCATCACAAGCATTGGTAGTTGCTGTGCTCGTCGAATGAACGTTCTTACTGTGTAGTAAAGTGTAAAGCCCCGTACTCTGCATGGGACTGGGAAACGTGGGCTGCTGTCGCACCTTACCTCTTATCAGTCCTGATAATCCATCTTATCAGCAAAACGCTCTGATAACGGAGGCACCTGTTGGGTTGTCCAACTTCACGTTGTCACCTCTTGGCTCACACACACACTGAATCACGGCCTCTCGTGTAAATGGCCGTACTGCGGTCATAACGTGGACAAACACTTCGAATCTAAACCTTTAACCATGCTCTTTGTCTTCAATGTGTAATTATTCTACACGGCGATGTTAAAAAATGAATGCCAACATATTTCTGCCTGTTCGATGAACCGTCGGCTCAACCGGTGTTCTTCTCTCCATCAGGTCCGTAGTATTGGCTGAAGGGCCGTGTAAGCGCGGCTTGTAAGAGAATCCCACCGTGGTAAGAAGCTGATTTTATTTAAAATGTAAAATGTAATTGCTGAAAGCATGTTACCCTGCAGAACAAGACTTAAATGGACCACCTCGTATGTTGACACTGTGTTTGCCCCCCCCTACTTCCTCCTCCAGGTTGGTCATAGTGTACAGAAAGGAGCTTACTCCACCCTCCAGGCTCCTCAGCTATGGCTCTGATGGCCTGCGTGAAGAGCCTGTTCATCCTGCAGCTGCTGATGGGCTTTGTGTTTGTGGTGAGCGGCCTCATCATAAACTTCATTCAGCTCTGCACCTGCGTCCTCTGGCCGATAAACAGGCAGCTCTATCGCAAGATCAACTGCCGGCTGTCCTACTCCCTCTGGAGTCGTGAGTACAGTATAACTTTACAGTTTTCTTTCAAATGAAGTAGAGCAAAAACATATAAAGAGAAGCCACTAGGTGGTTTGTCTTCAGACTTAACCTGGCTGGCTAATTGTTATATTTCACTTTTAGCTCGGATTACATTTAAGTGCATAAATCTATTCGGTGGGCAGTTCTTGCATGTCTAGGTGAGCAGCTGAGGCCCAAACAGACATGCATTTATATTATATATTATATATTATTATAATATTGTATAGCTCGATACAGCTGCAGCTGATAACTCTGCAACTAATTTGGGGCATAAATGTATTATATTAATCAGCAAACCGTGGAACAAACCTGACGTGGTTTTGGAGGAAGTGAATTGGTACTCGACGTACTTCCCGTTGATAAATGCTAAAGTGTTGTTGTTTTTTTTACATTCCCAGTGCACACAATGTGTGTTGTTGTTGTGTTTGAGCAGAGCTGGTGATGCTGCTGGAGTGGTGGTCAGGCACAGAATGCACGCTATACACTGACCAGGCCACGGTGGACAAGTTTGGCAAAGAGCACGTCATCACCATCCTCAACCACAACTATGAGATCGACTTCCTGTGTGGCTGGACCATGTGCGAAAGATTTGGCATCCTAGGGGTTGGTACTCGAAGAATAAATGACTCCCAATTCATTATTTGTTGTAGTCTGACTTAATATACTTGATATATTCATCCTCCCTCTCTAGAGTTCAAAAGTGCTCGCCAAGCACGAGCTCCTGAAGGTTCCTTTGATTGGCTGGACCTGGTACTTCCTGGAAATCGTCTTCTGCAAAAGAAAGTGGGAGGAGGACCGTAAGACTGTGTTCAAGGGACTGAGCCAGCTCAGAGACTATCCTGAGTATATGTGGGTAGGTACACGTCAGACACACTTGTTTTTTCTCCTGTGAGTGTAGACGTGTAAGTAGTAAGCTGTGTGTGAGTCCTGATCCTGCTCTATCATATCCACCATATATATATCTCAACATCATGTACTTTTTAACCTCTTAACCAGTCAGAATAGACTTTAGTCAGTCGGACATGTGGTTACAGGACTATATACTGTCACTGAAATGTAGGAGAACTTGTTTTTTACCTTTTTTTTTTTTTAAATGTTATTTCTGAATAATTTACAATTCAAATTTTATTTCTGTGTCATATTCATAACTTTAACTCGTTGGGATTATTACGCTCGCTGAGTCTATTGCGGAGATCGCTCAAAATAAGCCCCATTGGGAGATAAAGTAATAGTTCCCGATTGCACAGAGGAAACCAAGAACACATAGGCACACAGAATAGCAGGTCAAAGGTCAACCATGAAGTCGTTGGAGTATGACTTTACAGTTTGTCTTCCAAACTATGAATGACTAACCAAGGAGTTTGTTAAAAACCTTTTTTTGTAGTTTATATACTCTGCTCTAAACTTGTGCAATTTTATTAGTACAAATAAAGAACATAAGACCTAAGTTAAGAAACTGGAATTGAGTCATTTGAAGGCATTTCGTAATGATTCATAGGGAGGAAATGCGGACGCTGCCCTTTGACAGAGTTTTTCTCTACTCTAACTCTACTTGTGTTTCTCCATATTCACACACCGGCTGTGTTTGGAAGCTCTCAGCAGGAGGTTGTGTGTTTCTTCTTTTCTTCCTTTTCTCTGAAGCTTCATGAACTCCGCTGTCGTCTTTCGTATAAAAAGCTCCTGACAGAATCGCTCTTTTCTGTTGAAACGAGCGAGCGGCTTGCCTTTGCTGCGGCAGATTTACTGGAGGTGTGAAGCTCTCTGTGTGTGTTTCACATTTTCTCCTTGACTCAACCAGTCTGCCCGCTGAGATTAAGCAGATCAGCTGCTGATCTAATTAACTTAAGTCGCGCGTTAGGCCGCTGCTGATGACATGGTTTTTACATGTTCGGACAAACGAGATAAGAACTCTGTGCAGCTGCCTTCCTCTGACCTACTGAGGCAAGATGGCAGCTTTGTTTCGGCATTTAGTCGAATGGATATGTGAAGAGGGGTAGCGGGTAGAACAAAAGGAAACAAGAGCTCACCTGAAGAATTGTGCTGGTGCGCATTAACACAGCTCATCTCCTCCTCCTCCCCCCCCACACACACACAGTTCCTGCTGTACTGCGAGGGAACCCGCTTCACAGAGACAAAGCACCAAATCAGTATGCAGGTGGCAGAGAGCAAAGGCCTGCCCAAGCTCAAATACCACCTACTACCCCGGACCAAAGGCTTCACCACCACCATGCAGTGTCTCAGGGGCACAGGTAGCTTGTACAAACGCGCGCAAAGTTCCCCACGCTCACAAACCACCCGTTTTTTTTTTCTCACGCCGTGCTCTCCTTTCTTACAGTGAGTGCCGTATACGACGTAACTTTGAACTTCAAAGACAACCAAACTCCGACCCTCCTGGGCATCGTCAATGGCAAGAAGTACAAAGCCGACCTGTGTGTGAGGTGAGTGTCCTTGGAACCATCGCTTGTGGAAATAATGACGCTTCACAGCTGAACTCTGTTTCTTCAAATGGAACAAGATGAATGTGTTCTAAGCCCCTTTGCCTCTTACCAGCTGCATTTTGTCCCGTAACAACTAGAGGGGGTAAGAGTGCTTTGCAAAGACCTCTCGATGATCCACTGTGTAAAGTATTGTCTGAGGGAGCCCTCTATTGGGGGAAAGTGTCAACAAGTGGTTTGACATTCTCATGAATCTATTCTGTCGCAATGTTACATTTCGTCCTTTTTTTGTATTCAGTCCCACTCACTCATGACATTTTAGCTGAAGGGTCTCATTAGTTGCAATGGAGGTATGATTTAAATCTCTCACGTTTTTTCTTTCACAACCAGGCGCTTTCCTGTGGAGGACATACCAACTGATGAGAAGGAGTGTGCGATCTGGCTGCACAAGCTCTACCAGGAGAAGGTAGAACACTTCAAAATCTAGATGCGTCCTTAATAAACCTCAGGGAACACTTTGTTACCGTGACTCGCCTGTTGACTCCTGAACCTCTTCAAGCTGTTGACAAGCATGTCCACTGGACCGGACAAATGTTCTTAATCTCCACAAATGCAAAAACTTGCATTCTTCTTTCCTGTCCTGCTCAGGATGCCCTGCAGGAAAGCTATAAAAAGGAAGGCAAGTACCCCGGACCCACAATCGTCCCCCGTCGCAGGCCATGGACTCTGTTGAACTTCATGTTTTGGGCCACCCTGCTTCTCTCGCCCCTCATCAACTTTGCTTGTGGAGTGGTCGTCAGCGGCTCGCCTCTCCTCATCATTGGCTTTATCGTTTTCCTCATCATAGGTAGGTAAAGCGCATCCTCTTGTGGAATGAACAGGAGGTTGTTGGATCGTGCGGGGGTGGGTGGGGGGGTAAAATGCTGAAATTCAAATGGGTGAATGCAGTTTTGTATGAAGTTTTAAAGTTTCTTTTCCGTTTGCTTCTCCCCAGCCTCAATAGCCATCCGCCGTCTCATAGGGGTCACCGAGGTGAAGAAAACGGGCTCCAGTTACGGCAACCCGGAGGCCAAGAAACAAAACTAAAGTGTACCCACCTCCCCTTCCCCCCGCCCCTCCCGCGTACAGCCGCTTCTATGCGGCCACTCTTTGGTATCTCTCCCTTTCCCAACTTCCTTCTCCTCCGAACCGTTGAGTCAGCTGGTAGTTAGGGGAGGAGACGCAGCTGTGTTACGTGATGAGAGCAGAGTTAAAAATACTAATGGCACTAGATTGTGAGTGAGCAAAGCGGGCCTGGGGTTCAAAGTCTCTAACATATAAAGAGGGGAGAAGGGGTGCAGCACTGGATTCCCCTCCATCTTTCTTAGTTAATCCCACCACCTTCATCCAAGTTCTGTAAAATCCCGGTAACACACAAGTTTAAGCTTCTTCACCAGAAGAAAAGAAATGTACCGTTTAACTTCAAGGTATCCGGCCAGGCAGACCGTTTAATGTGCTCTGTCTGATACACCGCTGACACTTCTTCTGCTCCTCCATTGCAGTGGAGGTGAGTGCAATGTCGACTATTCTGGAAATGTACATTTTGAAAATGTGAAAAAAAATGACTGTCTGCAATCGATCATTTCTGACACACAAAAAAGACCACATTGAGATCATTGGATTATCAAAGTAGGATGGTTTTATGGAATAGACATTTCAGTTTTTCAGGCAACACTGACATCCAGTCCGCCTCCATTGTATTTGGTTAGCAGCCTGAAGTCCCGGTAGAAATCTCCATACAACTCCTGCATCATCCACAGGCTTTAGGCACGGCAAAGGTGGAATGGTCCTTTTTAAAAGTACAACAGTGAGGCTGTTCCACTTGCCTCCCTCCTCCTGATCCGATGCCGGCGCGTTGGAATGCCGTGCACACTGCTCCGCTCTGCTTTTGTATCTGACGTTCGGTGGAGCCGGATTGCAGAATCGGGTCACGAGCGTCTCCATGCATCTCTCCGCACATCATTTCACTTTCCTGGCATAGACTGGTAGTGATGTTTAAACCTTTGCCTTAAGTCAGACTTGCTCAGGCAAGGGATCGCTCATCCCCCCCCACTTTGAAACAGCGTTTAAAGGTTCACCCTCTTCCCCCTGCACAGGGCATGCAGGAGCAGTGTGCATTCATTCTGTTAATTACCAAAGCAAGTGAATAATTGAAAGCCATTTTGAATTCAATTTGTGTCCTGCTCCCCCCCCCCCATCAGCCGCATGTGTTAATCATGCATTTTTTTGTTTGAATGTTCCTCAATCCTCAGCAGCAGTTCGTTGTGTACATCCTCTTTGTGGCGTTATGTGCGATCAGACCGATATCATACAAGCCTTAATAGACAGTGCTGCTCCAACTTGTGGAAATGTAGACGCTGACTGAGCCCTTGTTGTTTCCTCCTGTACAGGCAGCCAGTTGCTGAAATTAGTTGCCTAGCAGCTGCAAAGTTAATTCGGAATTAAAAAGAAAATGGGCTAGATGACTTCTGCTCTTGTGCACAAAAAGCTCCGTTTGTTATCAGTTCCGTTTTTTTCCAAGATACTTTCAGTTGCTTCACTTGTTTGTTTACAGCTTCAGTATCTTGGCCTGGCATCTTTCTGATCAGATACCAATGCAATCCAATTCATCCTGTCATTCAAAAAGAAATCATATTCAGAAGCAACAAGAAGGCTGAGAAGTTAAAAGTATTTAAAACCACGTTTTACACTGAATGTTTTCTATTCTGTAGAGAAATATTAATATAATTTGAGGTCTAATGGAATCAAAAACATAAATTTAATTTTTTTTAATTAGTTTGTGGCACTGGTGTCATCTTTTGTTTTCTAAAGCTATTTTTATGTTTTCTTCAAATTAATACCCTTGATAATATTAAAGGATTTAATCACAGCATCTCCGGACTTTTTTTCTGAGTTTCTCTGTTTGCACAGTGCAAGTTCAGGGGAAGTTTAATCAACAGTTGGTCAACCTGTTCCTCAGTGCATCTCGTCCATCAACAGAACCGTTGTCACAGCCACATTTACATGCATCCTGTCATTTATAATAACACATCTGCATTTTTCCAGTCCGATGACGTGACTGCATAAACTAGACGTACGAAAGGCTGACGTCAAATTCACTTTCAGAAGTTGTAGAGATTTAAGTAGTGGTTATTTAGCAGTCAACCTTTTGACTGACACAATGGCCAACTGTTTTAATATATAGTCACAGGGTGTGAGCGGATGTTAAGAGATTGTATAATTGTGTACATAATGTAAATGATTATGATCACTTTTAGAAATTGCAACAATGCTCTTGTTTTTTTTTTTTTTTTTGGCAGTAGTTCTTTTGAAAGACGAGCCTCGAGTTCCATCGAATACCAAATGTTCCCCTGGTGGAAAAAGCTACAGCAAGATTTGTTAAACGTGTCTTTAGGGTCGGAGCTGTAATTCCCTTCAGTGATGCTTCTCTTTGGGAGGAAAGCCACTGGCAGAATGCTGTAGTCTCGCACAGCATATTTCCAACTATGTAATTAGCCGTGGTTTGTTTTTGCATGATGTGCACTATTGCACGGTCACTGAATCGAGTTAATTCTAACTCAGGGACACTTTTTTTTTTTTTTTTCTTTTTTTTGGGGGGGGGAAGACTGACAATGCAACGGCTGTGGCATCAACTCTGAATTTGAACCTGAATAAAGAGGCTTTCTGAGGAAACTGCATGTGTGATTCTTGCTTATCTGAATGCTTCTTGCTCTGCAAACATCTTGATGTGTCTTCTTAAAAGACCCGGAGACACTCTATGGTTTTCTGATTAAAAATGAAACACTCCGGAGTAAATAAGCAACACGTGTCTGATCAGCTCATCAGGACTGTGGCTTCTCTTTGAACAGATCAGACTGAAACCTTTCAACTGGTCAAATGATATTCAGCCCTGATTGATGCAGGTATAACGCACTGAACTGTGTATTACATCGGCGATCTGTACTTGGATGATAATAGAGTTCACATGACTGGCAGGACTTTGACCACTTACACTTAGTGTAAGTTAAACATGAACGCGCAGCTCTACATGTAGGACCGACATTGACTATTTTCCAGAATAAGAGATCGAAGGAATGGTTTCAACGGGCTGCGGAGAGAAAGGTATGCTGTCAATTTGTTTTAATTTGAGTATTAATTGAATTAGAATAAAGGTCTGTGTATTCATCCTTCCATTGCACCGAAGGGTCCTCACCATTTAGGGTGCCCAGCTTTATCTCTATATATAGATATAGATATATACGCACACAAGTGTGTCATGTTTATTCAGATTCTGATGTTTTTAGGATGTAGTTACCATTTATGATATTTGCATATGGCACTGCTGAAATATCTCGTCCTCTTCTAGGGAACAAACCCCGTCTTCAGGAGCGGCGGATCGTCCTCCTGGGGAACGACTGCAGGAAAAGAGTCTGACAGGAAACATCCTCCTCGGCCGACGGATGTTCGACACCAGCAGAGACGTGAAGATGTGCGTTAGGAGACCGTGTCTTCTCGGCAATGACCGGCCAGTTATCAACAGACTTTGAGGCATGTTCCCACGACTGTCGCGCTGTCTAATTGAGAAGTGCTTCGGAGGTGTCTTGCATACATTTTGAGCTCTTATGTGATCTTTCCAGCAGCTGTTTTGCCGTGTTTTAAACAAAGAAAGGAACATCTCAGCTGAGGAGCCGCTGGTCTCAGCGACCAACAGGCCCCAGGTCAGTCCTTTTGACCATCCCTAGTGCCCGTCTGCTGCCTCCGCCAGCGAACTCGAGAACAATGACTACAACTACAGGTATTCCTAACGATGCTTAAAGGTGTGAAAGTTAGTGTCCACACCTCTGGGAGTGGTCTTCTGGTGAGTTCAATGTAACTCGGATTTCGAATGATCGTTAGTCAATATCAGTTGTGGTGCAAGTATTACATGCATGCATTCCAGTTGATTACATTACATCAAATACAATCATAACTGCATTGGTATTATTCTAGTACAGTTGCAGATTTACAGTAGTTTTACAATATTGTCATTACTTTATTGATTACAGTTTCAGAATCATGGCAGTGTATTCTGGTGTACACTATCCATCCATCCTTCCATCCATTGTCAAACCGCTTATCCTGCACACAGGGTCGCGGGGGGGCTGGAGTCCATCCCTGCCAACTTCAGGCGATAGACAGGGTACATCCTGGATTGGTCGCCAGCCAACTCTACGGGCAATTTAGTCCCCAATTAACCTGATCCCCAGAGCATGTCTTTGGACTGTGGGAGGAAGCCGGAGAACCCGGAGAGAACCCACGCAGACACGGGGAGAACATGCAGACTCCACACAGAAAGGCCACTGGGTGGAATCGAACCCAGGACCTTCTTGCTGTGAGGCAACGGTGCTAACCACCACACCACCGTGCCGCCCGGTGTACACTATATGCATTTTTATTAATTTTATGAACCGGGTCATATATTTGTTTCTAATATCCTACAGGTCCCTTTTCAAAGTGCATTCAAACATGAGATAGTTTCATGACGGTTATCCTGCATTATTTATTTGTTTTCATCCAGGCGAGTCTCCTCCGATCTCACTGCTTCGGGTTCTCATCGTGGGGCCAAAGCACGTTGGGAAGCGCTCAGCTGGAAACGCCCTTCATGGAGCGGCGGGTTTTCCCCCGCTGGGCCTCCGACAGCCGGCTGCACCGGGGGGCGGGGACGCGTCCGCGCCAAGCCGGCGGCCGTGGTCGTGACTCCCCGCTGGCACGGGAGATACTGTTCGGAGGACTCGCCGCGGGCGGTCCGCCAGCAGATCAACTGGGGGTCGCTCCCGTAGAGGAGCTCACCGGGAGTTGGCCTGCCCTTAAGTGGCTGGTGGACAAATGTGGGAATAGACATCATGTTTTTGATCATTTAAACAAGGCGGGAGATAAAAAGGTTAAAGAATTGCTGGCAAAGATCGAGGAGACGGAGGTGGAGAACGATCCTGGACTTCTATTGTGCCGTTTTATGTGAGTCAAAGGGATCAACAGAAAGCTGGAGCAAAGCTGCAAAAAGAAGGCGAGACCGCTGAGGAAGGCAAGGAGGGACATTGGTCTGCGTACACAAGCAGCTGAAGAGAGGACGCCATTAAAACAGCCAAAGAGAAGGATGAGCAGATTGAAGGCCTGAAAGCAGAGAGGGAGTCTGAAGAGAGGAAGAATAAAGAAATTGGCCGAGGACTAGCGGAGGCGAAGAGGGAGAACAAATGGCTCAAACATGTCATCATGGGGAAAGAAAGAGTGATAAGCAGCTTGCGTGAGAAACAGGAAAAAAGATGATGTCCTTGAAGCTGCAAAGCAAAGTAGTGAGGAGGAAAAGGAAGCGCGGGAGGAGAGAGTGCAGGAACAAGAGCATGAGACAGCAGCCTTTAAGGGAAAGTGTGCAAAGAAAGAAACGGCGCTTGATCAAATGATGATGAAACATAAAAGGGAAGCGAAGGAGCTCAAAGAGACAATTAAACGGCTGAGGAGGGAAAAGGAAGACACTGAGAAGATTTTGAAGGCCATAATCGTAGAGATGCACCGGCACTATCAGAAGAAAAAAAACGATACGACACATGCGACGAAAACCGTGGTCGTCAACGAAAGGCCCTGAGGCTGCGAAACCACGACGGACCTCAAGTTAGAGGAGCTCGCCCGACGACAGAGATGGGCCTTCGCAGTGCGACTGAGCCGCCATGAAGAAGAAGCAGCAAAACGCAGTGAGTACAGAGTCATCAACAACACAGGCCCTGTGTGCAAACACCCTGCTGTGTCCCCAGAAGTAAATGTGACTTCTTTCATTTACAGAGGCGGAAAAGGAAAAAGGGATTTTGTCAGACGAGGACGTGGAGCTACATGAGAAGGTGAGTAAAAGTGATGCAAGTGGTGAATGATCTCGGCTTGACTGTCGACTCGGGGAGAATCTTTTTGCCCATAAAACAAATGGTGATCGTGGCAGCTTTTGCCAAAGTGTTTCAGTCGTGCTTAAACTTCGTCGGGCTTAATGAAAGACTGAGACCGTAATCTTTGCCCTTTAGCTTCTAACAATTTACCTTTTCGTTCAAAGTTTTTTTTTTTAGGTGCTCCTTCAATTTAATTCAGTTGTCACAAGAAGCTTCGTGCAATTTCGACCTTAAGCTGTACATCCAGCCCGAGCTCTCCAGAGAGTAATTAATGCTTCTATTCCCTCACGGTCTTCCTGTGTACGTGGGTTGAAGCGGTCGTCTCTTTATTGTCTACAGTTTGCACAACATGTGCTTTCAGGATGGATTTCCAAATTGTATTTAGCTTCTTTCTAAGGCTTTTAATGTTGTTTTTAAACCAAACTCTAAGCATTGCATAGACACAAAGACATATTCTGAACAGCGCACCTTTTCTTATTAAAAGTACTTGGACTACAAAAACTTTAAAGTTGCGATTACCAACCTATTCTCATCAATTATCTAATTTCAGAAATTTGGTTAGTGGTTGATGGTTTATTTCGACGAATTACCCTTATTTACATTAGGATCCTCTTGCACTATAAAATGGAGGAGGATCACCGTCCTCTGCTTCTACTGGGCGGCTTCCTCTGGGACACACACACACACACACACCAGAGAACATGTATTTTATCAGGTGTAACACACATGGTGCCTTTAACAGATACTAATGCAACGAATCTTAATGGATCCATAGAAAGCGACTGCGAACAAGGCGCGTCCACTTGAGGCAGAGCCGGCTCCTTGGTGCCTGAGGGCCGGAGGTGCTGCGCTCGGAGCTGCCTTTGGGGCTCTCTGCAGCTCCTCCAGGCAGACTTCGGGGATGTGCGGCAGGTCAGCTGCTGGGGCTGCAGCTGGGTCCCTGCTGGGCAGCTTACTGGTCCAAAGACCCAGGCTCAGGCACGGGGGAGTCAAGTCAGACACTCCAACATGACTTGAGTCGTGTATTACCATTGAGCGAGGTTTGTCTGATCAGATACAATCATTTAAAACGTCTCTGTGGATGTTTGTTCTTTAAACGTTGTCATGTTGAAAGGGTTCTGAACATTTAAGGTGTGGCTTTACTGGGAATATTTTTTTTTTAACCTTTTCAGCATTTTGTAACATTTACAATGAGGCCGAAACACAACAAGTCGTGTGTTTAAGACAACTGTTTATTTTTCTAATATTCTACTTTGTCTCATATGTGCAGTGTATCTGAATGTACAATTTTATATGATGATTTACAAGTTTGCATTAAGCGGAATTTGCATCACATACAATTTCAGGGAGAAAAATAGATGTTTGCAAAAGTTAAATGCTTTGTTAGTGAGTCCGGCATTCCATACACACAAAAATAAGAGAAGAAAAACTAACATGCCTTACTAATATATTGAATTTTCTATATTTAAACGTCGGAACTAGATGTAGATACATTACAACTTTCCATTACTTTTTCCGATCAAATGATTATAGTATATCATTTTTTTTAGAAAATAACACACATTCAAGTTGAAATTGAAAAGGAAGCATTCATTTTCTTTCAACATTCACTAAACCTAAAATTCTGTTTCTTATCTTTGTCAGTTTGAATCCATAAACTAGAGGATTCATCACAGGAGGAATGAGGAGGAATTCTATAGCGATGAAGTTCTGAAGGCTCTGAGGTAAATGTGTTGAGCCAAATCGCATATGCATTAATTCAAAAAGACCTACAACAAGGAACGT